CTCGGGGCTTGGCCCGCTTGGGGATGTTCCACGTGACCTTTTCAACGAATTGGGTCTTTTTTTTCGGTATGGTGGGGCACAGGTTTTTAAGTGGATTTTAAAGGCTGAGTTGACAATTCCACTCTGGAATGTTCACGATGCAAGAATTCGGAGACGTGACCTATTTGAGAGGGCCGTTGCGAATGGAACACTAAAGCTTCCTCCCTTGCTTTTTTTTTCTTTTGGGATGACGATGAAAACTGTTTTCGATACGAAAGGGGCATCTCGAAGCATGGTCGAGAGGGAAAATTCGGAAGACCGAAACTCAAAGATGCTAAGCCGAAGAAAGCGGGTGATATCCCATGACTCGATCTCTGAGATCGGGTCATTGGAAAATCGATGAGTGCATTCGAGGCCATCCAGCTCCATGCAATTCGCACACAGAGGTTGGGTGGTTCCATGATTAAATTCCAAGGACTTGGCGGGTTTAAACGATCTCATTCGACACAGAAGAGCACTCGACTGCATTTGCAAGGCTGGGTCTCTCGAGCAGGAAGCCTCGCTCGAGATCGACCGAGAGATCTCATTGGCGATTCCTACACGAGGGTAGAAAAAATGCCACATATCCCAAGTGAAACAATACCATAGGAGGAAAGATTGCGCTCGCTAGAGTACTTCTAACCAGACAGAGAGTGCTACTCGTTGGCACGAGTTCCGGGGTTTTGTGCAGGCTGGGTCGTCAACTTCGACGTGGATCTGAAATACACGATGAAGACCAGGGCTGGATGGATTTAAAGTATTTATTCCGGGGGGGGGGGAAAAAATGAATCACATCCCTCTGCAGGAAACGTCGATTTAACATCCTTGTGCGACTTTGGTTTTAGTCAAATGTTGATTTACCGCTGACGTCAGTATTTCTTCAAGGTTGATGGAGACATTTAAATGTGGAATTGACGTTACAGTCAAATGTTTCAACACCAACTAAGGTGACGCTAAATGTTGAATCAATATTGATATACCGTGGATATGCTTCCTGCATACCACCATCTGGACCTAAATCATCTTCAATAATTTCCCCTACCTTGGAACAGACATGTCCGTCCCTCAGATTCACCACTGTCATGAAACCACACAGGGGCAGGTTGCCTCGACCAAAGGGAAAAAAGTGTTTATTCCTAAGAGATCTTCCCAGGCTCAAATACTCGAGTGCTCTACAATAAAGCAACGCCCAAACGCACATACACACACAATAGCTGCACAAACTGAAACGCTCTTCTGGCCTTGACAACGGGAAGACGAGGCGAGCGGAAGCGGGAAGAGTCACGGTAAGCGTATCGCGTGGAGTCTCTCCTCTCCTCCCGGGCGTGTAACAAGCCTCTTAATATTCATTTAGGTCCCATGCACTTCGTCAGGTACCGGAGAGAGATGAGATTCGGTGGCAGTGCCTCACTATTTCTTCCAATGTCCTGGGAACTGACGAAGCTGCATGGCGTTCCACATACCTGCGAAAGAAAGCATCGGTAACGACCAGACGGCGCGAACGTGGAAAAATCTGGAAGGTGAAATCCCAAAAATACAAAACAGGGTAGGAATCGCGTAGGATCAAGCTCTTTAAACCGAGGAAACGAGACTTCGGGGCGTCCGCGAAGACACGAATCATCATCGCCGAATAAATTCACGCTCTTACAAGATACAGAAAACTTACACAGGCATGAGGCATTCGCAAGCAGACAATGCCCAACCAGTTTTCCTCACACCTTGTTTACCGTAGGCACACAATCGTGAGAAACGAGCGGAAAACGTCCCAAAGCGAATGACATTCAACCCGATACGAGGGTCTCATTTTCCCAGTAAGACGATATACCTTAGACACCTGAGCTCATTATCAAGAGCACATCAAACACCGAAAGCAATCCTTAAAACAGTGACGGGAACCCAGCCAGCAACGACACGAATACAACACCCAGAACATATCGGAATACGTTTCCCTATCGTCTCCCTCGGAAAGCGAGACCGATTTCCAATTCTCCAAGGCCAGTCAGTCTTTACGTTTCGCTTTGCTAACCATTCTCGTGTTGGAACACGACCGGAATTTTTCTCAGCTGCATGAAATTCCTTGAAAGCCGCGAAGTTTGTTTCGTGAGTTGAGGATTTTTTTTTCCAGGTTCAATCGACACTTTCGATGTTTCGTTGTTGATCTGAGCCAAAAGGTAGCACTGGAAAACACGAGAAAACAAATCTTAATTTTTTTCCTATCAGACATCCACGTCCGTGAATTGCAACCTCGCATCCCTGCAAACTCAGGTCAAAATGTGGAGAATCTGCAGAGGACTGGTGTTTAGCAGGAGATTCCCCAGCAAAAAAGAACCAGCTAGAAACAGCAAGCTTTCCATCAGTAATTGTGTGCCACTTCCAGCAGGAACTGCAGAATTTCCAACCAGAACTAGTCGTAAATTGGTATGCCGTTTCCAGCTGGAATGAACCAATAGGATCCAGTTGGATCTCACAATGTATTCTGCTGGATTTCTGCTTTTCCTGTAGGAAAATGCCAACCTTCTAATTCCCGAGTGGAACCAGTTACGTTTCCTGCGCGCAATCCACCTGCCGGAAAAATCCATCACAAACCGGGTAAACCGGTAATATTTCCAGCCTGAACTTTTTACTGGGTCATGCTCCTAAAAGGCTGGTTTTCTAGCCTTTAGTGGCGTGGTTCCGCACGATTTTGACTCAGTTCTGTACGCATAGGTTTTGGCATTCTCTATGTTCTGGTTCAGCACCTCCTACATTTACTGGACAGTTTACAACTCCAGGCATTTTTCTTTTAGCAAAGTTATAATTTTCTACCTGTCTTTTTCCTATATGGAGTTCAGGTAACGTCAGCATAGAATAATGACAGGCTCCTCGAGGCGCGCAAGGACCTAACACCCTTGTAGAGCAGCAAACTATTTCTGCGAAATTGCGTACCAACCACATAAAAATTGGCAAGACAGAAAAGGGGCTTCCAAGAAAGCCCTACTCCATACCGCTGTCTTCGATGCACACCGGAGACTGTCTCACGTGGATCATGAATCCGGAGTCTTCCACGGCTTTATTGGATTTGAAGGTGAACTGGGTTTGCGAATTAGTCGGGTTCACCCGGAAGTAATCTGAAATCGCACACGGAAGCATTTCCTGAGTCCCAGAACCTGCAGACGACACGAAAAAATAACTTCGAGAAGGCACGGAACTCACGCGTTTGCCCGCTCAAGTTCCCGCACAGGCTGAATGCCCCCGAGAACAGACCGTCGTCCACGCAATTCGGGCTGACCTCCGTGTTGAACGAGATGAGCGTCATCTCCAAACTGCAGATAACCTGCGAGACCCAAGAATCGCAAAAGTGAATCGGGGAAAACGAACCAGGGACTCTCCTCCCCGGCCGCCTCACCTCCCCGGGCGGGTGATGGATCGTGTAGGTACACTCGAAGTCGTTAGGGTAAGGCGCTGGGTAGTTGGGTGAGTAGATGATGAACTGGGGGTCGGAGAAGGCGTGGCGGTTGCACGGCGGCGGCGGTCGGGTCTGGCTCTTTACGGGGGGACTGGCTAGTGCTACCGGGGTCACTTCGGGGTACGTCATCGTCGTCAGCATGGGCCTCAGTGTCGACGAGGGGATCACGAATATCGTCGTCGTCAGTGCGGGGGGTGGAGGCGACGCCGTTCCTTCCTCTGAGCACAAGCATATACTCGTGTGCATCGTCGGCGTCAACGATTCGAAGTGTGAAATGTTACGCAAGTTAACTAGGGGTCATGAACAAGGCTACGAGAATGAAAGTTAGTTCAACTCTAAGGCGGATCGATCCGGAAGAACTGACCGTGGTAAACCTGCGTGACTTTGATATGGAAGCCGCGGTCTCCCTGGGAGGAATCCGTGACGAAGCGAAACGTCGTGTCGAAAGTCTTGAAAGGCACGACCAAGGGATTCGGGATCCCCCCGAACGGACCGCAGAACCTCGAATCCCCGATCAGCAAGTAATCGTCCGAGCATTGATAGGAAGACTCGACGTTGAAGTCGAGGAATTCCACCAAGAGATGAGAGATGGGCTGCGACACCCAGTCGGGGACAAAATAAATATCAAAGACGATAGAACGAAGGAGAATCCATTCCCGAGGATCTGCAGGCCCACCTGGAAGCTGTACTTAGCAATGTAGTACGTGCAGTTGAGGTTCGGAGGGTACATGCCGGGGTAACTGGGGCTTCGAATCTCGAAGTTCTGCCGCATGTAGAACCCATCGCAGGAAAAGGGCGGGGGCTTCTGCGTGGTCGGAGGCGTGGTGGACGAAGGGGGCGGGAGCGGGGGCGGGGGCGGGGAAGGGTTGGGGGGCAGAAGGTGGCACGCCACCATCCGATACGTCGCCCGGAACCCGCCGCTCACGCCGGTCGAGTCCGACACGAAGGAGAACGTGATGTTGCTCGGTCGCAGGGTCGACATCGCCGTCAGTCGTACTGGAAATCGAAGATGGCAATTTGGTGTAAGGGTGAGGGGGACAGGGAAGAAATGTTTCAGTTTAAAACTCAAAAAGCGATTACAATCATCCATGAGGTTGTCCGCTTTTGTCAATCAAGATTCTTGGACGTGAACTGATGTTGGGCAATTACCGACAGTTGTGTCTTTGTCATGTAATTTCATTAGTCTTGCTTCCTAGACTAAGACAAATGCCTTGTTATCCCGAATTGTTCAATCTTCATCTTTAAGGGAGCACGAAAACCTCTTTTTTCAGCATTTCGTCCGGCAACAACTCATCGTCAATGATCCTTCAAGAGATAACGAGAAAAGATTTTCCGCTTAGTGTTCCCACTTACGAGTATTTCACGGTTACACCTTTTGAGTGTCCATACCTGTGCGACGGATCGTCTGGCGTGTTCCACTAAACGGACGAAGCGCCATTTCAGTGTTTACCGGAAAAAAAATTCGTTGCCGTCGCAAGAAATATGGAGAATGTGCCCCTTTTGGGTAGGTTCAAAACGGTTGGTTCAAAATCTGATAGCAAGAGGGAAGGATTCCCACGCAAACTGGTTTTGACGCATACGGACTATTTGGTTCACTCTAAAAAAGAACTCGCAGGAAAAGAAACTCTAGGGACACGTTCCGAGGGAAGGCGATGAGATGAGGCCTACCTGTTTGACCCGCAAGACTGGAGCCGCAGAACCGACGATTGTTCATCAGGAGATAGTCCTTCTCGCAGAGCAGGTCCTGCTCCAGTTCCATCGCCTCGAATTTCATCTCCAGGGAGCAGTACCCATCCCGCAGCTCGAACCTGTGGGAACAGACCGTGCCTCGGGTGACCTCGAATCGCCCGCTCGAGGACGCTCGGGAACAGGACTCACGAGTAGAGGCACTTCATGTTGTTCCGATAGTTTTCGGGGTACCCGTACGACTCGACGACCCCCGTGATCCGATCCACGCAGACGTCGCAGAGCGGAGGCGGCGGGAGAGCCGTGGTCGTCGGAAGGGGAGGCGAAGTCGTCGGCTCCTCGCTGCACTCCACCTGTTGGAATATGACCGAGAAGGCCTGGTGGCTTCCCACCGCATCGGAATGGAACTTGGCGAAGACCATGGGCCCGGCGAAGGTGAAGCGGTGCTTCGTGCTCTCCCGCCCGCAGAAGCGAGTGTCTCCCACCAGCAGGTAGTCCCTCGCGCAGTGGGGACTCCGCTCGATGTTGAAGGACTCGAAGATGACGTCCAGGAAGCAGACCTTGGTACTGATGGCCTTGATGGTGTAGATGCAATTCGCGTTCGGCGGGTAGGGGTTCGGGTAGCCGGGTGAGCGGATCTGGGTGGAGGCGTGCGTGAGGAGCAGGTCGCAGTTCTCGGAGGCTGGGGTCGTGGGAGGGGGGGGAGGGGGAGCGGGGGTCGTCGGGGGAGTGGAGCTGGCCGTGTGGAAGCAAGGGATCTGTCGGACCGACAAGTGGTAGCCGCGGCCGCCACTGTGGGAATCCGAATGAAACTTGATCGGGAAAGTGTTTCCGTGAAAGTCCAGGTAGACTGAAAATAAACATACGGCGCATGTGAGATACGGGAAGAAAAAAGAAATCGATTCGGGGGTGATCGGGAGCGGGAAGGCTTACTTTTCTCTTTCGTGATTTCTCCGCAATACCTGCGATCTCCGATCTGCAGATAATCGTAAATGCAGTCTGGGGAAGCTTCCACGTCCAGGTCATGAATGAAGATTTCCGCAGAACAATGCCCGTAAGCCTTTTCTATCGTGTGCAGACAAGTCAAGCCGCAGTCGTAGGAATTCGGGTAGTTCCGGGACCGGATTTCCGTGTAATGGCTGCTGTGATACGAGTTGCAATCCAGAGGTGGCTTCCCACTGAACCAAGGTACTGGTCTCGGTTTCGTCGGGGCCGGTGTCGTCGTTGTCGTCGTCGTCGTCGTCGTCGTCGTCGTCGTCGAGTGGGTCGTACTCACGAAGGGCGTCGTCGTCGTCGTCGTCGATGAGACCGGGCAAGGCACCTGACGGACTTCGAGCCGGAAGCCCACGGATCCTGAGTGGTTGTCGTCGGAATGGAACTTGAGGAATAGGACTTTGGATTGGAACGGGATCCGGTCCTCGCCGTATTTCGGGCCGCAGATCTTCCTCTTCTCGAACAGCAGGAAATCCCCGCGACAGTTGGGACTCCAGTCGATGTTGAAAGCGACGTAGGAAACGTCCAGGAAGCAAGTGTTGACGTACGCAGGGTACACCGTGTACTCGCAGTCCACCTGCGGCGGGTAGGGATTCGGATAATTGGGGCTTTCGATCGTGAATTGGGCGTCTCGATACACGTTTTCGCATTTGAACGCGACGGGGGGTGGCGTCGTCGTGGTCGGGCACGGAATCTGGTTCACTTCCAGGTGGAATCCCTTCCTGGTGTGTTGATGGTTACTGTGGAAATGGATGAGTTTCAGATCCTCCTGGAAGGGGAACTTGAGTGCCTGCCGGTGCTTCCCGCAGATCCGCGTCCCGTCGATGCTCAAGTAATCGTTCTGGCATTGCGGCGCACTCTCCACGTCGAACTCCAGGAAGTTGAAGGCGAGATAGCACACTTTGGGCAGGCGATGGACGCTGTAGATGCAGGTCACATCCGTGGGATAGTTATCCTTCAGATACCCGGGAGAAAGAATCGGGAAGGAAGAAGAATGGAAGCTCTGATTGCAGGACTTGTCGATCAAGACGTCGTCGTGGCACGGGATCTGTCGACCCTGGACCACGAACCCCCTGGCGTTGTTCGTCGCGTCCGAATGGAATCGAATCTTCTTGACTCCCTCCCGGAATTCGAAGCGGCGCTTCGGGACGTGCGACCCGCACAGCCTCTCGTCGTCGAGCGCCAAGTAGTCCCTGGCGCAGCCGTGGCTCCACTCCACGTCGAAGGCGATGAAGTCCAACTCCAGGTAGCAGACCTTCCAGGTCGAGGTGGCCACCACGGAATACTCGCAGTCCGCCCCGTTCGGGTAATGGGCGGGGAAGTTGGGCGACTGGAGAGTGAAGTTCAGGCCGTAGATCATGTAGTCGCAGCTCTGCAAGGCTGGAGGCGAGGGCGTCGTGTGGCATGGCTCCTGTGAGAAACATCGAGTGAAGATCCACCTCTATGACTCCGTGATGGAGCACGATATGCATCAACTCGTGACCGAAAATTTATTTGATTTATTTTTTGTCTAAATTCTTCACATTGTTTTTTTTTTTGTGTGTCTTCGTGACTGCCCTTTTTGCCTACGGTTGACTGTTCACAATCTGAATTTACAGCCCTTCCCTATGACTTCGTGACCCATCTGTCCTATAGGTAAGGGACACTTAAGGCAATTTTTGCGGCAAAACCTGAAGAATGAGCACCAATGTCAAACCTGAGAGATAGATATGGAAAATCCCCGCCCTTCGTCGAAGGCGTCCGATCGAAATCGGAATATCTTGAGGGGCTCCGGAAAGTCGAGGACCTTCTTGGCCGGCTGAGGCCCACAGAGCCGCTCCCTGTCCACCTCCAAGTAATCCTCCTGGCAGCCCCGGCTTATCTCCACGTCGAAGACCTTGAAGGTCAGCTCGAGGCTGCAGACGTGCCGGTCGGCCTTGTAGACGGTGAAGACGCACTCCGCGTTCGGCGGGTAGACGGAGGGCCACAGCGGCGACTGCAGCTCGAACGTCGTTGCGTTGTACTCCTCGTCGCAGTCGATTCGCCACGTCGGGGTCGTCGCTAGAACGGAACCGGTTCCCGCGTTTCAGTCTTTCGCGATCGATGGATCGAAAGGGGTGGTGAAATCGGTGGCGGTGTTGTCCAAGTACTGCAAGACTACTGGACTTGAATAGGTAAATACCTCCATTATTGCAAAAATAAGCCAAGAGATGATTGCTTTGCTCTCTTAGTCCAACTGAATAATTCATCGTTAATTTGCATTCCAAGGGAATTGGGCATTTGAACTCCCGATTCCCTTTCTCATCTCGTTTCCACCTATTGCTCCCTTTCAACATAAGGGTGGGCTCTAGATGCCAGATGAATAGCAGGCAGCTTATTGCCAAATGTGCTCGACTTTATCAATAACATTCAACTTGAGCCTCATCGACCGGTGTCATCAATTGGAATGGAATAAACGGAAACTAAAAAATATAAGTAAGCGTTATTTCTATGCTAGTTAATTTGGTGAGTATTTCTTTGGAAGACGCAGAGTTTTCGACGCAACGAAATAATTTTTCTTGAGTCTGTGGACAGACATCAGATTTCCCTCAAAGGGGCATAGCTAAAAATTGGAATTCTTAAGGAAGGTTGAAATATGCCTGTTAGTGTCACCGACTGGGAAGCCCAAGGGGGGGCGGTTCTAACCCCCTAAACTCCCCCCCACTTCCCTACGACTCTGGTGGACGATACTGATCGTTGTTACTCACCGATCTCGGTGCAGTAAACCTGGCTATAGGTGAGGTCAAAGCCTTGCGTTGGGTCGTGGGTGACGACCCTGTACTGCAAATGAATCTCGGGTCGGCCGTGAAAGTCCACCACAGCTGTCAAAGAATCAATTCCACGGGATTCGATTTCTCGGAGAGAGATTAATCCGATCTTCCGGGATCGCGACGCCACTCACCGGGGATCCGGGAAGGATCGTTGCCGCAGTAGCGAGTCCCTTCGATTTCCAAGTAGTTGATCCAGCAGCCGGGATCGTAGGGCAATCGGAATTGGTTCACGCTGAGACGGAGATGGCAGTGACCTGCGAGAGGAAATCGGGGCATCAGTCTCATGGCCGCTACACGAGACAAAGCCTTGCAACTTCTCTTTAAAAATATATATATATTTAAAAAGTCAAAAGAAGTGGACATGGTTCTCGATTCAGCTGGGAAACGATTCGAAACCTATTCGTCCTTTTTTTTCGCTAGGTATATCAGGAGACCTCGATTACTCGAGACTCACCCGGTCTTCGAATGACTGATACGAGACACGAAGAGTTGAGAAGTCCACCGACCGAATGACGGCTGTTTCGGATTTGTCCCGTCTCAGAATACAGCGTCTGATCGCACGTTTCGGCAGGAGGGTCTACAAGGAAAGAAGAGAAGCAAACGCCCTTCATCAAACCCTAAAACTATTGGCGCAACAGAACTAAACTTGGAGGCGAGGAGGAGGAGGATGGGGGGGGGGGGGGGCAAGGTACTTGCAGCGCCTTTCCCCCCGCTGTAAACTATTGGCGCAACAGAACTAAACTTGGAGGCGAGGAGGAGGAGGATGGGGGGGGGGGGGGGGCAATGTACTTGCAGCGCCTTTCCTCACGCTGACACCAGAGTGAATTTGGGTGACGCTGTATGGAAAGATTACTTCAAGGCCTACAGCCGCTCGCTTTCTGCAGGAAGCATTTTTCTTCATGCTCTATCATGCATCTATTCTTTTGAAAGTATCAATAGAAGCCCTCCAAAGCAGGAGGTATCGGTTGCCGGATCGTTGTCTTTTCCCCTTTTCTCCTCCCTGAGTCGGCAGACAAAAAAAATGTCTCCAAACTTTTCTAATTCCCTGACGAGTGACAAGTTTCCTGTCTTAGTAAACGACTACCCTCTTCGGAAACTTTCAAGTCTCACCGCCTACTGTCTAAAGTCTAGAAAACCGAAAATAAAACCTTCCAAACTTACTTAGAAACACGCACGCAACAACATTAAAAACAAAGAAAAAAAACTCTACATTTTTTTACTCAACTTAGCGTAGCCGAGATGAAAGAATTTCTATTCGAAAACAAGGACAATACATTTAGCCGGCACTACACATCGAGTGCCAAAAAAAGGCGAGGCAACGAGTGGTTTTCCCGCGAATGGCTGATTTTTTTTTGCTGTTCTGCTTCCGCAATGTGACATCCCTGTAGGAGTGGATTAAAAAAAAAAAAGTTCCACATGGCGTACTGAAAGTCATCAAGGCAATGCACTTCAAAGCAAAATTCGTTTTGAAAGAAATACCACGTCTTCATTTGCACCAGGTAAGAGCATTAGTTACAGGAAAATTCCAAAATGTAACACTACGAGCCTCTTGATGCCAACCATTTCAAACAAGATGTCCTTGAATTAATTGCAGAAGTGTTCGCGACCGATCGGCCGGTGACCATCCAGATTCCCCAGCAGGTAAATGGCGGAACGGACAGACCAGGCGAACGCGCTGGTTAGATCTCACCTGATTGAAAAGTAACCTTCGAAAACGGTGAGACCCGACGCTGCCAAGTTATTTTATTTGAAATTTGAAAAAAAAACCTTCATTCCAGATATTGTCCACCGAGCAAGAATGAACTTATGAGCTTTGCCACCGCTGTTAAAAAAAAAAAAACGGCAAGAGCTGTTTTCATTCAATCACTAAACCTTTATATTTCTCGTGGGACACGCTGTCCGACTCGCACGGGGTTAAAGTTTCTTTATTAGTCTTGCCACTGAGTTTACATGCATAATTAATTTTAAAAACCGCTTTAATCGTCGAAGGAAGAAGTCGAGGAGCTTACCAGGACAATCCCCGAACACGGGTCGCGCCTCGATCCAAAATCCTCGCCGAGTTTCCGCGCTGTTGGTGTCGAACGGCAGGACGAGCTGACTCGAACCCGGAGGGAAACTCACCCGCACTGCACAGCAATAAAATTAAAGAAATAATTAATTAATTAATTAAAGCCTGCCATGACTCATCCAGCAACTCATCTCAGGCCAGACCTTTTCTGCCGCCCTTTTCACCGCAGTACTTCCTGCTCCCGACCGAAAAAGAGTCAGCGCTGCAATCTCGGGACCATTCCACGTCGAAGTCGTGGAAGAGGAGCTCCAATTGACACGCTCCTTCGGCTCGGACGATCCTGTGCCGATTCGGTCGGTCAGATCCAAGTTTTCGAAGGAGCACGAAATCTGCAATGAATCGTGGCTCACCTGTACGTGCAGTGGAGATTGTTACGATACGGTTTGGGATAGTTGTAGGACGTGAAGTTCCCAAAACCCTTGTAGAGGCAGAAGTCACAGCTTCCGGGCTCCGTGTTGAGTCTCCATTCTGCAGCAGCGACACGAGATGGCGCGGATGACGACCCGTCAATGAGGTCTCTCGGCCTCTCACCCACGAACCAGGCACGCAATTTTATTTTACTATCGACCTTCAATGTAATGACCACCGCGCTCGATGGCGCGCTCCCAACGATCGTGCAACATTTTAATATCGAAATCGTAAAAAGATTCTACTCGATGTCAGAGCATTCTTGCACGGCCGACTTCGGATCGTCGTCGTCGCCAAAACGCCTTTCTCGAAGGACCTTTGTCAGATTTCCCATCAGTAGGAGTCATTTCCGGACTGTACTCTGGGTAAATAACTCCGACTGACTATTATCTGTTTGCATATCTGAAAAAAAATTCAGCAAGAAAAATCTTTTCACAATTCCGGTATTAGAACTTTGCACGATCGGGAGCGTATCATCGAGCGTGATGGTCATAACGTTGAAGATTGATAGTCAAATAAAATCCGTGCGTGCTTGGTTTGTGGTTGAGGTCGAGAACTGATTGACGGACGACGTCGAATGCCTGGCAGGCACCTGAAGTCGGCTTGTTTACAAGCCCTCTCGTAGTGAACTTATAATGGCTAATTTTGACGACGAATCAATGTGCAACGAGAAAGCCGTGTACAAGGGGGGGGGGGGGGTAGCAAAAAGTTCCGGGACCGGTTTTGTTACTCCTTTTATTGTTTGATCTGCAGGCTTTACACCTCGTAAGTATTTATTGCTGGATCTTGCAGATCCCTGGGCAAAATTACCTGCTATTTGGTTTTAATTTGATTTCTTTAAGAATTTTTTTTATTGGCTTTTTGACATACTTGGCGAAATGAGTAAGGAACTCCTTGCCCCACCGCAATAATTCGGAGTGTCGTCAAAATGTTCGTGGAAGTGATCAATCGTGCCCACACCAAAAATGAACCGTCATGACGATTCATGAAATGGTTCGCGAAATGCAAGACCTCTGACGGGGCTGGCCCAAAGTCATCGTGAACATCAGCTGAGGAGTGGAACCTGGCTGCCTCGATGACGCCACAATATGATTCCAAGTTCTCAAAGACTTCATGAATGATTGCTGTCTGAACCCTCAGAAAGGATTTCTTGCACTTTTGCTCCTCTTCCGTCTTTTTTAGGTTTATCCCTTTGGGCCAGTCGAACAATAATCCAGTAATCTAGAGCATCTACTTCAAAAGCAGCAGCATACCACACACCCCAAATTTCTTTGGCCCAATTTCGCAAAAAAAATTCATGGCACTCTGAATTTCAAACTCAGTTTCATCACATTCTTCATACTTTTTCGCCAAGTAAGTCTATTTAAAAAAAAGACATGAAAACCAACAAGCAATACATTTTCCTCATCCACCCCAAGACGAGAAACGAGAACCATTCCCGGAAGTTTTTGCTCCCCGTCCCATGCCGCACCCGGTTGAAAGCAGCCAGAGGGAGAAGAAAGGGAACGGCATGCGTTTGTTTAGCGGTGGCACGGGATTCGGCTGGGGTTGCTCGGTCCAAAGGATCGAGGATTTGGGCTCCGTGCTTTTAAGGACGACTAAGTCTATGTGCTTTTCTATTGATGCAGGGAGCATGGCGAAGCGAAGAGCACAAATGTAAGCCAAAGTTACCCCCGGAAAATGTGAGAAGGGCCGATCTTAACGGTATAACCAGGAAGTGCGAGAAAAACTGAAATATTCGGCCAGGTTATTTCTCCCTCTTCCTTTCTTTCAACCTCTTGATTAAACGAAAACAAAAAAAAAAAACACCAGAAACGTGAGTGCTCTCGAAAAAAAAGAAAAGAATAATCGGGGGAAAATACCCCTTGCATACCATCTGTGATCTCGTTGGCGTTGTCCGAATCCAGAACCAACGGAATGACCCCGGGCTGAAACAAAGAGAGCATGAATACAAGCAAAGAGAGCATGAATCCCAATCCAAGACGAATGACAGAAATCAATTTGCCAGCACACTGTCCGACCGAGGAAGAGGAAACGTGTGGATGAAGTAATGACACCGCGTAAATGGTGAATTCCTGCGGTCATGAAGGGAAAAAGCCGCGAATAAGGAAAGCTCGTCTTCGCCGGTTTCCCCAGGAATGGGAGATGCCGATAATTCGCCGGGCAATCGTGATGTTGACACGCGGAACGAATGACCATTTCATAACGGCTCGAGCCATCTCATCCAAACAATTTTAGCTGCAGCGAGAGAACACGATCGTTTCCATGCTCGGCTGAACCGTTCTGCAGGAACTGATCCCCCCCACCCTTCAAACTCGATTTTTTTTTCTCTTCTCCCACCCTGCAAGGTTAAATTGACACTTTACTGTTCTTTCCCGGTTTCTTTCCCTTCCCTGCGCCAGGGACGGAGCCAGACTTTCTCACGTGGGTGCCAACTTCACGTCTCTGTGTGCCCGCCTGCATGAACCCAAACACCCGGGGAAATGGCCCGAGCGCTTTCTCATCATTCGGGAGGAAGAGCGCCTTCGTCGGATGAACCCGAAATTACGATTTGTCGGAAAGAACTTTCCACGAAACTGTTCAACCGTGACTGGCCTTGGGCACGGTGCTTACCATATTAACGATCGCCCATTCTGTATCCTTTGGTGACCGGGGGGGGGGGGGGGGGGGGGGGACGACCGTTAGGCGTCCCAGGAGGAGCAGTGATAAAGAGGGAGAGAGCAAGGACCCCCCCCCTCCCCATCTACTCATCTCCCTTGCTAATGTGATCTTTATCCGATAAGTATTCTGTTTTGTTCTCCTCCTTAGCACGCGATATGATAAAAAGCTATTACGAATAAGGGGATGAGGTCAGAGTTTCAGTTCGCAAATTATGCGAGGTGCATGTACTCCTCGGAAACACGACACGACACGCAGCCGACACAGCCTTACCCTAGCATATCTTCCAGAGTATCCAAACGAAATGCGAGAAAAAGTCCTGGATGCGAAGAGAACTTCGGTCTCGTGTCTGCGGACGGAACGAGAAGAAAATGAAAGCATTCGATTTCGTGGTCGGGCAGGGTGTCCTTAAGGTGACATGTAACTGGACTTTTACCGTACGAATAATAACCTTCTTTTTTTTTTTTTGCACCACTTGTAGAATCACTTCTGCCCCTTGGAACCACAAAACATACTTTGTCTTTATTTCATGTCAGATATTCGAAGAAAAAGTAAAATCTCAAGTCCCAAAAAAATTCCACATCTGTCATGCACTCAGTGGACGGCGTCGAAGTCTCCTGCATGGAAAAAAAAAAAACTATTTTCGCCATGCGACAGTCTCGGTTTGTTTTATTCGAGGGTTTGCTGTTGAGCTTTTACGTTCAGAGAACACGGTTTCGAGAAATGCAGGGAATGCAGTTACGTAACGTAACGGAGGTGCAGAGATGATCGTCCTAGAATGGCATTCTAAAAAAATAAAGTTGCAACCATTCGCTGCGAGAAAAAGCATCCATCGACTTAATGTGCAACCTGTAAAATGGATTTCCAAAAGATATGAAACCCATGCGTAAAATTGGGAACTACCGGCGCGTAAAATCGATCGTCCTTTCTCACGGAAACCACTGCACGTCCTCCGACGGCTCGTATCAAAATTCGCTTTTCTTTTCCTTCATTGTGATAACAGGATTTCCCATTAAGTGCAGATCGAACGGATTTTTCAATAACGACGATCCATTGGGTCATGGGGTTCTAAATAGTATTTTCATTTTTTTCCAGGAATTGCGTTTTCATTTTTAAAACTACCGTGAAAGACTGCATGAAAAGGCCCGTTCTCGCCGATCAACACGATACGAAATCCCCCCCGCGAGGCGCCAAGAATCGGCGGAATGAGGAAGGGAAAACGGCGAAGGAAAACGGCGAGGGAAAACGGCCGAACATCGCCGGTTTCCCGATAAACGACGCCAGTGCAGGCTCACCTGATCCTGGGTGTCGGAGAAGATGACCCTGGGCGACGCATCTTCACCGAGGGCGACGAGGAGAGGCGAGAGGGCGAGGAGGCACAAAGCGGCCACGCCGGGCGCGAGCATATTCGATCGGTCGAGCCGGCCGGGACGCAATAACCAACGCGGGGATCGAGTCGAGACGGCTATGAGCGGCTCGTCGAACGCGACACATGGTTTCCCCGTTCGGGACAAAAGGACGGAAGTTTCTCCATCTCATTTTCACTCACATGCCTTCTCAATGACATCTTTCTTCCTTTCCTGGCTGTTGACTCAGTTTCCACGCCAAGACAAGCGTTATGAAACATCCACTGTCAATACCCCGAGTCCGTTTGCATCACTCGACAAACATCGTCCTGCCTTCTCTCGCCTTTTTTCCCGCGAATCGATTTCGAATACGCGTGGACGGACGGTGGTTGCGAACTGGGCGCGGCGCAGAGCAGGACTGACCCCGCTCCTCCCCGGGAGAGCCTACAGAGTATTTTTCCCCCCGATGGTTGGGGCCCGGCTGATGATATGATGTCATGCACTGAGGAGCATGAGTTCACGTCCCGCTATTTGTAGAAGGAAGGAATCCAGCGATTCCTTGGGCGCCTGCCCAGAACATTGGACAATGGCCCACCGTGCTCTCATTGTTTTTATCCGTGTTCCATGCTCTGCCTAATGATTTGGGGGTGAAAAACCTAACAGAGTTCACGTTTTTGCATGGAGGAACTCGACTGTTTTCATTCCATTCGCGCCTCATTCGGGAGTTCACATCGCCGTGGGCTCAACATTTGCTTCCGTAGATGAATAAATACGATTATATAATGGGAACGAGGTCATATCAACGACACCTGGTCGTGACTGAAGTGGGAGGATAGGTGCAAAAGCAAGCCTTTCCGATTCAAGCAAAAGCCTTTCATGGGGTATCACAGCCCATAAAGAGATTAAATGAGTAATCGAAGGGATAACTAATTAAAATTCAATATTCAAAATGTTGACGTTGCATCCTGTTCCTGTTGAAATATGTCAGGTATGATAATTTGTCCATTATTTATTTTACGTCACAACACACAAGAAGCACTGCAAAGTCCTCAAGTTATCGTGTCGGCTATACTAGTATCGCCCATGCAGAAGAGATCCAATGGCCGATCGAGTAAATTCATTCGTAATCGCATGCAGAGGCCCCAACTAAAGCGATGTCAGCGCCAGGGCCACGAGCGTGCCTTTCAGATGGAAAACGATTAGGATGGTGAAGTGAGGGCCGGTGCATTCGGCGCTGTGGGCGTTTTGATCATTTATCTTTCCACGCCTGTGGCCCGAGAGTGTGCCCAGGTGTGGATTGCCCCGATGACAGCGAATGCTGCGAGGAACCGATCGCAGGCTTCTTCGGTCCATACCGTATGTCGGTGGGTTGTAGGGTAGAAGAAAGAATCCAGGAAGGACGAGATCATTTTCATTTTGTAATTTAGTCGTAGTAATTTAGTAATTGACATTCTAAGCTCTATTCTAAAATATATATTTGAAAAACTTACCTGCAAGCTCTTTCGATTCCAGTGCTACGTTTTACGGGCTGCACCAGAATTATCGGAAATGTATTGCTTGTCATCTTAAATCTCATGCAAGACATTTATCAGAATCTTTCTTGTCAGCGATAACCAGCCCACGTCTCGTAAATAAAATTAAAAAAAGAAAGCTGGCAGCTTCTCTCGCCAGACGCAACGGTATTGTCTTTGGACCGAGACGTTCGTGGCCCGAGGTCAGAAAATAGCACAGATGAAACCGATCGGGGTTCGAGCGGACACGTGTATGAACGCATCCGGCATATTGATAAACGAGATTCGGGGGGACCTTTTCACGGCCGGATGGCCACGAGCCGACCGGAGGTGGGCCGGGGAATGGGAAGTCGTCCAACACCCCTCCAGGTCTCGTTACGGGACGGGCCGCGGTTTCATCTGCAGCGTGGAGGTCGGGGAAGGCAGGGGAATGACGGAAGATCCGTCGATGCGCTTGGAAGACGCGATGGGGGGGTTTGCCCTTCCTCAGGGATGATCGGGGGAGGAAGGAAGGAAGGAAAAAAAATCCCGGTGCACGCCCTTCGACGTGACGGGGAATAACTCTCCCCCGCGACGACGCTCCATTTTAGACACTTTCCCTAAGGCATCAGAGTCTTCCGGTTCCTCACTGACACGTATTTACGAGACTTTCTTGCTGGAATTAACATCTGAATCCATCGCCTTGCGTAACAGGCAGGTTTCGAGGGAGCGTTCTGCGGAAATCCGACGGGGACATGCACGCGTCCGCTGTCGCAGCTCCTTAACGGTCTTGCGAAACAATTTGCAAAAAAAAAAAGTCGAGAGGAATCTAACCCGGGTCTCATGGAACGTGCAAGAAATTCCATCGTCTTCATGGGTCCCATGCTGATGGGGGCTCCGTGGCTCCATCAGTTCATTTGTAACGCTTTTTCTAGCTTCTCGCAGAGAAAATTGTTCAGGATATACAACTGGTATTTACATGTAAAAAAATGCAGTCCCCTGACAACGTGCCAACATTGCCAATGGCGATGATCAGTGCTAATTAATGTGAAAGCTATTAGTTTTCGAAGCTTTTAGAATTCCTATTTTTGATCAATCTAATGTTTCTGTTGCGCGAAAAATATCACGAATGATAGCAAAAAGCATGAGTCAAGATTTTGAAAATCTGCGTTTCCCGGGCGAAAATAAGAGGGAAAATATTGACGTGAATAATCCGTTATACTGGGAGATCACCAAAGTTCATCCTTCAACTAAAACTTATTTCGCTTTTGTGGGCATTTTCCCAATCAGTCACTTCCTTGATTCTGCAGGTAATAAAAAAGTAATAATAAAATGGTGGAATTCTTCACGTTCGGCGCGCATATTTGGTAACACCGCGAGGTCTTCGCGAGAAAATGAGTCGAATTTCACAAAAACGGTAGATGGAATGCTAAGCAGACCGTGCGTGTCGGTATCCCGAGATGACAAATTAACGGTTTATGAAAGGCTTAACGCATGTTCTCCTCGCGGGCAGACGGGGTCGGAAGTCCTGGCGTCCCGCTTTGGATTCACTTTGCGAGTGTCTCGCGCTTTCTTTTGGCTTCTTTTCCTAGCCAAAGATAAGACCAAAAACGCAAGCTTCGACTGCAGAAAATCGGTGACTGGAGATAGGAGAGGAACGTAACACAGGCGTAAATTGTTCGAAAAATGCTAAATTTTGCCGTGGATTGTGATGAGATTTATCATGCGGATGAACCTGGTTTCGTCCCAAAACCAATCTTTTTATGGTGAATTTAATCGTGTTCCTAGATTCAGGCAAACTTGATGCGTGTTGAGCAGAGGCAAGTTACAGACTCTTCGAAAGTAGACCCACTGCCCCGTACTTCCAGTACTATAAGCTCAAACTTGAGACTCTCACTTTGAAAAAAGGCACACCGTCCAGACGAGACGAGTCAATCAGTGCCCTCAAAATTTGCTTTGAAGTATTTGATTAATCCTAAGGCTCCCCGAAATGGTGAGTCTAGCTACCTTGCGCAAAATGAGTACTTAAAAAAGCATCGTCATACAAAGCAAATTTGACCACCATCTAATAGTGTCTAGTTCTACTAACGCACTGTAACGCCAAGATAGCAAAAATGTGAAAATACTCTCCATTGCACCCTTCCTTCGTCTGGACCAACTTTAGTAGATGCATTATAAATGCCACATTTGCAAAAGATTCCATTAATACTTCACTTGCCGGAAAATTCCACGAGTGCTAAAGCCTTATACATGGCGCAAAAAAACCGACGCCAATGGAATAATACAGATGAGCCATAGAAAATTAGATTATGACAGAAACACTAATGAATTTTGCACCAATATGCTAATGAGGTGAATAATAAGTTTGGAAACATAAGCAGAAGCATGCTGAAACTATACTTCAATCATGGCAAAGGTCCTGTAGTTCCTGCAGTCACCAATATGCAAAGGCTGCTCCTGTCTCTAATAATCTCGACTACAGCCGGCAAGGCTGTGTGTGCAGTCAAGCGTTAATTCTATCACTCTTGTAATTACTGCGCCTTAAAATGTAACACTAATAAATTATGGATTAAAATTGGCAGCTTGGTGCAAAATTCATTCATTTTACCAGAGTAAAAAATGGGACTTCCATCTGTTTGCCTGCAATTTAAATACTTGACTTAGCAAAAAAAAAAAGGAATATTAAAATTGGCCATAAAAACAGCAAATAATTTCCACTAAAGGCACAAAGAGAATTCCACACTCTCATATGGACGCTTTTGTCCCATTATGATACACCACTAAAGCCTAACCATAGGTGAAGTACAATCATGGGCAATAGTGCATCACCACAACTGGAGATCACAAGAGACATTTAATAACTATTTTATATCCACCCTATACCAGTTCTGAATAGCACATTAATCAAATAAACATGAAATGAAAAGTCCACACAGAATGTTCCAAGCATAAGGCCAATGTGCCTCATCAAGGATATATATTCAAGTAAACAATGTGATTCCCATCAAAGCACCAATATAATCGATGATCCGTGAAAAACAGTGTAAGGCACAAAAGGAGGTCATACTTTAAGACAAGCATCTGCCAGAACACTTGAATTTTCTCCCATCAATAGCTGCTTCAAGACAAGGTTTCACAGTTCTAGAAATATGGATCTTCTAGGATCCTAGAAATTGTGAAAAACTTATCACACTCAACAGAATTTCTCTTGAATGAATTCATGCTTAGAAGAGTTAAAACATGGTAAAACCATAATTATACCAAAAATTAATTAAAAAATTAAAAGCTTCCAATTTCACTGGTGCTTGGCACCATTTCATGACACAATGCACAAAAAGTCACAATAGTAAAACATCACATTGCCATGGAAAATATTCACCGGTGTGACCAATCCTCATGTTGAACCTGGATATGTCACTGACTTCAAGCTGCTTTTCACTCATCAGAATACATGCTAACATTTGGAAATTGAGTTAGCCATAACTTCTTTGTGGATCTAAGATTTATATCTCTAATGTGACGGTCAGATTTGAATTCACTGGTATTTGTTTCATTGAAACACAAAATCTTACTGATAAAATGTTTCCATGAAGAATCTTAATGCCTGGATGACTGGATGAGAAAGGCTTATCTTTCAAGTAGGATGGGAATGAAATATTTGTAATGTAGATTTGGCAGGAAGGAGTTTCCTTGTCTTCCTGATGGGATGCATTGAAAAATTAATCTTTTGCTCATCTCTTGTGACCCCATATCTGTTCTCATCATACTGAATGACCAGGTTAATTGTCAAGTGTCACCACAAACTAGTACTCAAAAACATTGATGGCTAGGATCCTCCTTATATAAGCTATTCTCACTAAATACCAAATTCATCATTATCGCAATACTGAACTAGCAAGAACTATTAATGAGCAACCAACTTCTTTGGTTGCTCATTTATACTCTCATGCTCTATTTAAGTGGCATGAGGTTTGGTCCCATCAGCATGTCTGGAAGAGCCACTTTCAAGCACCCAAACAGAAGGATGCCATTTTGTACTAGGAGGGCAAAGGACATTCTATCATCAATGCAACAGCTATCCACATACCAGGTTGTAGCCATTCATCAAATGATTGCAAGCTGACATAAGGATAGCTTTGGCATTAATGATCACCATGTTGGTAAATGGATCCCCAAAAAAATCGTTTATGATGAAAGTGACATATTCAGAAAATGAATGGCAATGAAACTAGTTTCTTGAATGATTCAGGTATAAAATAGGAAGTTCCAGAGCTCCCTAACCTCTACAGACCCAGTATAAGTATATGCATAGAGTATTTTTAAAAATATAAGCAATTTTGATTTTGAGGAAAGAATCAATCAGTGTTTCTGACATGGCCTTTTGGAAATTTAAATTAGCTGTTCAGTGACTGCCTGAGTGAACACAAAATGAGTGGAACTGCAATGCCAACAAACATCACAGAATAGAAGGCCACACATTTTTCATAGCCTTCCCTCAGGACTCTGGAGTTTATGTGCTGATTGTCTCAAAAGCAAGTGAATCATTGCAGTGCAGTGTGTGCTGTGTCATATGAGCAGTTTTCAAACTTCAACAGGATATCACTCTGCCCAGCTCCAGAAACAACTTCCCAATGATGCAACAGGCTACATATCTCCTTCAAGCTAAGGGCAGCCTTTATCACGACTGGAATACAGAGCAAGAAATCAAGTTAAGTTGTATCTGCATACAAGTTTTTTGTTTAAAATTTCTTTCCTTATACAAGTGCTATGCATACCTCACTTTTATGAAAGATATACTTCATAAAAAAAATATTACAAATGAGATTCTGCCTGTATGGTGCAGGCAGTGAATAAGATTTTTGTGTAGTTATTACCATAGCTGCCACTTGATCATGTGTCATGGAAGAGATTACAGAGGTATAGATGAACTCTTTCATGACTGAATTGAGCACCTAATACTCAAAACTTATAGTTATTAAAGCTGTAAACCTATGCCTCCATCTTGAATGTTCACTGCATCCCAATAGAGCAACAACTGCACAATGCTAATTTCCTTTCCTGCTCAGAGGTGATGGTGCTGTGAAATATTGTGCTTTTGTGATCCTTTGGTATCCTTGATTGCTTGCAGGTGAGAAGCTACCCTTGAGAACAGGTCACTTATTCTTCATTTCCATTGGCTGTCACTTGGACTTCCCTTTTGTTGCGGTCTTTTAGCGTTGTGCAGGCACTGTAAGTCACCTCATTGAGAGAGCCTTCGCATGGAAGTACAACCTATAGAAAGGAAGCAATCAACACCTCCAAGAAAACAAGTACCAAACCCACAATTCAACTCACAACTTACTTGTCCAATGTGGTCTGCCACAATGGCTTCATCATGTAGCTCCAATTTTTGCATCAGCTCTGATAGTTTGTTGGCTTTTCTGCATTCATTGGCTTCAATTATATGACATAGATGCTCTGTTAACTGCTCCTTCCTTTCCATCTTGTTGAAGAGCAACATTTTAGCCTCAACAAACTCCTTCTCTGCCTTCTCATATCTCTTTCTGTAAGGAAGAACAGTGTGCCTTCTGTTACATATCAGCAATACCCAAATGATGATTAGCAAAGGCTTTCACAACATATTCCAGGTTACAGAACAAGATTGACACTTCATGATTGGAGTAGTTCATCCATGTGGTGTACTATGATTCCTGCTTTCCTAATAAAGGCATCTGGTTCATTAGCTCTACAGATCAATCACTGATTCATGCTGTCAACAATAAACCCTAACCATCTAAGTAATTTGATAGGTGCATAACATTTAGTCAGTTGAATGAAAGATAGATGGGGCTTAGCCTTTGCCACTTGATGTATGAGCCATCACTGACTCTATGAGATAAACATGCTAACCAACATGTAACATGCCAGTGTGTCACATGGAGCCACAAGAAAGACTAGTGTTTTACCCCTTGGCAATTAACAGTTTAAAAATACAGAAAGACCTTCAAAGGAGAAAAAGAGGGAATACTGGACTCACTGCGCTTCAGCAAACTCAAGACTTGCTTCTTCTATCTTATTACGAAGAATGCTCACATCAGAAGAAAGGGACAGATCTATCCTTTGAAGCTCATCTTGAATTTCTTTCAGCTTGGTAGCTTCAGACACAGTCCTCTTTCTCCTGAGAAATTAAAAGTAGGTGAATGTCATTGACAAATAAGATAAAAATCAATATCTGTAACAAGATTCTGACATGAAATCTCTCAGATGAAGGGGCAGTAAAGATGAGAACCAACCGTTCTGCAATAGCTCTAGCAAGCAGTTCTTTCCTTCGTTTGTTTTCTTCCTCAATGGCTTTCTGCCTTGAATGGAAGACTTCAAGATTGGAGTTCACCTTTGGATGAGAAGCATCCTCTGACACATCATGTTTAGTAGTGGAAACACATTCTACAACTTCATATGTGCCAGCTTCTCCATTCACCCTCAGCTTGACTGGAGAACACGATGTGTTTGTCTCAATTGTTGAAGTTCTTTCTGCTTCTGGTTTGAATTCATCATCATCTTGTTTTCCTTCACCTACAGACACCTAAAAGATGCATTTTGCAAGATGAAAACCCTTGTACAGGTACATTTAGATGACTCACCATTTAGTAGACATTTAGGACTAAATCAAGTTCCATTGTCCAATCAATGCTTTCAAGTACAAGAAAAAATAACTTTTTTGTCATACCATTCTGTACCCATGATTGACAGTCCTCATCTTTTCATCTAATGCATTCTACTCTCTGAGCATAATAAATTAAAGAGAACCAATAAATTTATTTTTGACAGTACTAGTAAACGATTCTTATAAGTCAGCTGAAAATGTTTATATTTACATAATCCACAATCTCTTCAGATCACTAATTCTTTATCAATCTCTACCAGTAATTTTTTTCCTTAAGAAGCATACAATGATGCTTCACAAATGGTTTTAACAAAAGGTGCATAAATGTTATGCAATATAAATGTAATATGATTAATAGTTCCCATACATTACTGGAAGCTTCTTCCAAAAAATAATACTTTTAGTAGACATCCCCTAGTATGCATCATCAAACCAGAATCAGATTTTCAGGTTGAGATTATGCAGTATCTTCTTTCATCTTTTATTGAAAGTGTGGCATGATAGAACATTGCTTCCTTTCATATTGCATATGTTTAGTCAGCATAAGCTTATACATGAATGGTAATTAATAGACAATTTGCAGAAAGAAACTCACTTTGGCAGTGAATCCAGTGTCTTCTGTTTCTTCACTATGCAGGTCTTTGTCCATTAGAACAGCATCAGCACCTTGAGAAGGCTCCTTGCTATGATCTTGCACCTGTTCATTATGAGCATTTCTTTGGTTCAAAGCTGGATATATTCTCCCACCTTGGCCAGCCTTGGATTGTGACTGTCCTGCCAAACAGGAATTTATTCCTGAACTTAGCAGGCTAAAGAAGATACAGATAAGCCTTTGACCTTCTGTAAAATTACAGGGAATAAGTAAAATGTTGGCCTTGGTTCTTGTTAGGTGTAGCCCTAACCCTTACAGTCACAAATTATTTTCTGGTCACTTTGTTACATACATCCATTTGTATTATTTTATATTAGCCGCCATAGTTGTCATTCAGGATCAATCAGGATGACTACATCCTGATTGATCCAATTTTTTAATACAAGTGTCTAGTGAGTGAATTTAAGGCTGTGGTAATTGTAAAGTAATCAATAACTGAATTTAGTGGCACATCCAAAAGGAGGGCAGTGACCAAATGGTTGAGAGCAGGGCTGCACCAGTGATGATCTTTGGCTGATAGGCAAACGATCAGCTATTATCTTACACACAACAGCTGGAACCAGTGCCACAAGTGAAAAATGGAGGAAAGGGGGTGGCAATGTCAACAAATCATTTTTCAATTATTCTTCAATATTCTGCATGATATTAGCAACTTTTAGATACCAGCTTAAAAGTAGCTAGTGACTTTGCATCTCTGTACCAGAATTAGGGCCAAGGGAGATCAGAAGCAAGTGAGTTTTACCAATCAAGAAATAGGAATGTAACACCATGCCCAATCCCATCATATGGTGTAACCCTATGCCAGAGAGTACACATGCAAGTAAAACATCAATTTAGTGCTCAAGGAACTCAATAAATGTATTACCACTGCCAGAAAATACATATATGAGACCCATATATTCTTGAATAAGAGAGTGGAGGTCAAAGAGGAAGCCTAATGCAGGTGTCAGATGTTGAGAAGCAATTTTCAACAGGCTCATAGAATATGTAGATTTTTGAGTCTTTAGGAGTCCAATATCAGTACCAGCCTCCATTTGTGACACCTAATTCTATCACTGGATTCAGATATATGACACAGAAATGTAATCATACCATGCATCACTTTTATTTTTTGCATAGAGGGGGCTGGAAGCACCAGTTCCTTTTTTTAGAAAAAAAAAGGAAGTCTGGCACCAGGCCGCATTCATTGGTGCACGTGTTCTCTGGGTAGGCGGGACCTTGGCCTAGGCATCGACAATGTGAAAATTACCGATGGTCGATGGTGCCATATCGGCGGCTGATCCCAGTTGTCGAAGCATCGGTACAGCCCTGGTCTAGAGCTGTTCGAGGTAGAAGTTAAACCAATTTGTTTGCCTTGGGCTGAGAGAGCAAACGCTATTATATGAGCCTGAATCCAAAAAAATGAAGACCCAAAAATAAATTTACGAAAAGGAAGCCATGGAGCACAGGCCTACTTGTTAAGTATTTAGCTGGGGAACGTTTCGTCTCCGGATCCCGAAGTTGCTGGAGATCTTCCTTCGTGAACCCAGACCAGCTGGAGGTAGCCATGTTAAGCCGACTCCAGCTGTTACCTCGTGGTCACTCGTCGCCAGGACTACTCACGTGAAGTGATGATTCCAGCCTGTATCTCTTGAAATAATTTTTTCCTTCTCTGACCGATATTGGAGCAAGGGCCCGGGCATCCTCTTCATGCAGAGAGGAGCTCAGCCGCGACAGATAGAAAATATATCCATTTAATGTTGTAAATGGAGGTGATGATCCGCAATTGCTCAAAAATCTGATATCTCGCTGAGGTGGTTCCTTTAAATCGGTCTGCTACTCATCCAAAAGAGGACTTAATCGTGATCAGGTTCAGGTCTCGTGCCGCCAGGACAAAGACCCTTTAAGGGTCAGTCCTAAATAACCACTGGCACAAAGTTAATCATTTACCGGGTCCCGTTGTGGGCGGAAATGATTGCAGGGAGGGAAAAGAGCTGCTAAACATCTCAGTCCCGAGAATATATATTCTCAACAACCCCGGAATCTGGATTCTGCTGAATGATGGACTTCAGTCACTGTTGGCCCAAAAAGAGGACGGCGCCGCCAGGCTCTCGGTAGAGAATTCGAGGGAAACAAGCGGCAGCACCTCAGTAGAATTGCGTTCGAGTAAAAGGAGTAAGAGGTGGAGGGACAGGCAAAAAAGGAAAACGGAATGGCTCATACATTCAATACTGAAGTGGTCAAGAGAAAGGGGTCAAAAGGGGGTTCCTTGGCACGGGGTCAGTTGAAGCAGGCGAAAGAGAAGACATAGAGTGATCTCACCTAATGGGAAGCAAGTTTGACGCGGGATCGAATCGATCGAAGAGACGAATCAAGGTGGACTTATCTCTTGTCCGTGCATTTACTTGGCGCTGGTCTCGGTCGCTCAGGAGAACAATATGTGTCTTTTACTTTAGAGGGGGAATTCACTTTCTTTTCCAGCTAGAGCTCCATCTGTGAGTCATGGTGAAGGAACCCTATTGTCGAAAATCGCGCATTTATCGGACCGTCCGTTAAAGGGAAACAGGGAGAGCAAAATGAAAGTGATGACGTCACGCGAGGGAAAGAATTGGCGCTTAGCGCGTTCCAGTCGTCGACAGGTGGTTCCAGCATCAGGAGGAAAAGAGGAAAGGGAGCTGGCGCGGAATGGGAAGCCTCATTCTGGCACTTGCTGCCTCCTTTCCTCCAGGAGGTAACGTGACGTCATCACTTTCATTTTGCTTTCCCTGGATCGTCCGAATGGATGGCCGGAGAAAATGCGCGGTTTAAGGCGATGGTTTTCGTTCCTGATGACTCGCAGGAAGTAAGTAGGGAAAAGACGGTTTTCAATTTCTTAGAGTGGTTTAAAGACGAAAACAATTCATCCTGCTGTAATACTTGGCCTATCTATACAATATTATGAGTGGCAATGGGGGGGGGGAACTACTGTACTTTACCAAGGGGTTTTTCCAATGCTCCAACTTTCAGATAAAGTCTGGATGGTGTTAGGCTCAATGTACTGCCTTCCAAAGAATAGGCGACGAGTTAAAGCGGTGGACAGCGGTTCGAAAGTTGCAAAACCTAACCGAAAGTGAAAAATTAAACTCGCACGAAATGCGTTTGCTAGAAAAGCTCAAATACAGGTATTATGGACACATCCAGATTTACACTTTTCTTCCTTTTTAGATTGCTGGAATAATTGCTTACAGTTGAAAAAAATATCAATGACAAAAAGTGAAATTCGACAATTGTTAGAAAATTGACTGCAGAAAAACATAAATATAAAAAATTACGTCTTCAAAGATTGAGATTGAAAGTCAAATAAACCTTGATGTAAGTGATTCTCTATGTAAGTTATTGGCCCTGCGAACAGTTAGCTTTGTTGTCGCTTGTTTGCACACTGCAAAGCAAAATTTTTTCCAAGAAAATAATTTTTTCGGACGGAAACTTTTTCACCTGCTGTTTTTGTGCCAATACGTATCAGAGATTTCTTCTCTCGATACAAGTCTCGCCTCTCTCAGATGCAGCTCAATAAGAATAATTGCCGAAACTTGGAACCTGCTAGGTCAGCATACCGTATTGTGCTTTTCTCGCTGCTGGCGTCACAGTGATGCTTACTCAAAAAGTAGCTGATTCATGCTGGCAAAAATTCATGACTTCCAAGGGCATCATTTGAGTAAATTAAAGAAACCCCCCAGGAAAATCCCTCCAGGTAATTGAACCCATATATGAGCCGCATAATGAACTTAACCTTCCAAGAAATTGCTGTTATCTGTGTTATATGACGCAGCAATACGCATTATCCATGTTGACTTAAGGAGCTGCAGTAGGCAACTAGACATTGATGGAGTCGATCGTGTCGTTATCTTCAGGACGAGCTCTATAGCTGAGGTTGGCTGGGATTCCGATAGATAACGCTAAATCCACTTGCCGAGACCTACCTTCATGTCATGTAGTATCAGCGAAGGAATGAAGGAATGGTTTTAAGAAGATTCTGTTCAAGACTTTAATTGATATTGACCCTTGCGTGATGAGGGGTTGACGAAACTGATGAGCAGATCGCGATTTCACTTTCATATGCGGGCCAAGGCATGCATGGGCATGATGCACCATCGCCAAATGACTCGCCCACGCATGAGCAGGATGCACGAACACGAGCAGACGATATAGGGGAGGAGATGTCGCTTTACAACCCTCCAGAATCACATTGCTGTGATGGCAGCCTTGCGGTGATTTTGCTTCTTACGGGACCTTGGTCTTTTCATTGGCTTATCGTAGACTGTATCGAGCCTAGACCTGTGCCAAGCCACCAGATCTACCCTGGCCTGCGTTTGTGATAACTGTTAGCATTAAGACGAGTTCAGGGACTCGTATTACTTCCGCTATATATAGGCTCAACACAGGCTTAGAGTGATTTCATGTCTTTCGGTTTAGTTTATGTCCGGTTGCCATCTCCAGTTATTTATATTGGATTCACTTAACTGGGAATACTAAATTTGTTATCAGTTAGTTGCTCCTCCATCAGGATTAACTAGAGGGTAACAGGAAATGTAATCAGTCTATCTCTTGCTTCAGAGTTCTTGAAAGTTTAGTTTGCTAATTGATTTGGCTAATGCTGACATACATGTTATTCTCTTCATTTGGAATGTTTTCAATAGATGCATAGGGATTGAAGGCCTGGATATAAACCTCATGGAGTCCACCTGAAAGAGTACACATTGAAACTGAACATGTAAGCTACTTGCCCTATAATCACTCTCATTGAGGATGAGGAGGCCTTTTGGCATTTTGGCCTGCAAATTGGCCCATTTGATTTTTGTAAATTATTACCACATGTAAAGTTCATGTTAGTCTCTTAAGTCTATGAAGGGAAATGATGACATCCTGAGCAAGGTGGGATCTTGACAGGGATTTAGATTGACGTTCTGCTCCCTTACCCCCTTACCATGGTTTTTTTTTGTTCTGTTTAAAAGATGATTGTTGCTGCTTAATTGACATTCACATTCAGAATGTCAAGCATTTACTGAATAATGCCAAATTACCAAGGCAATATAGCTAATATTATACAACATGAATTTTAAATATATATATCCCATAGCATAGTGTATAATTGTAAATTTTGTGTGTCACTCAGATGCCACAGGATGCAGCAAGGGGTTATTTTCTATAGCTCCACATTAATATGAGGTTAAATCATACCAGCACCCCTTCTGTTTTGCATCATGGTGCATCAACTGTATCTCAACCTTGTCAATTTCTTTTACTCTCCAGATAGCTGCAGGAGAATGTGGCATAAATTTAGTATTTTCATCTTTTGGTCATGCTGACTCCTGGTCCACCTAGTGAATTTTGATTGTCCAACCCAAAGGCCAACTCGGTTGCCTTAGAAGGTTTGTAGTACAGGTATTGGCAGTCTAGAAAGAAAGACAAATGCTGCTCATTGCCCTTTATGAAGGGCATCATGAAAAGACGTGGTGACTGCTTAGTAGGGGAAATATTTATCACTGAGGAATCCTGAAGAGTGTTTAAAGACAGGCCCAAGTCATGAACGTCATCAGAGTTCATACCTTCTGGTGTTTGATGGTATTCCTGAGTGAGGCCTACATTTCAAGTTCCCATAATGCTCAACCTATAACCAAAGAAGAAAAGAAGGAATTGAGGTTTGTTCCTGACCCAGTTCTTGATGCATGCACTCTAGTGCTAAATATGAATGAGCTTCTGACAGGACTATTTTTTTTACAGGGAAGAAGCCAAAGAGATGTTTTATCATGCCTACAACTCCTACATGGTAAGGAGCTTTGCTTCTTATCCATTTCGTAGCATATATTGCTAACATTTCCATAGGGCAGATTGTGTCTGGGTGAAACTCTAAAGTCCAATTTAAAATTTAAAATCTGGTTCAGTTTTGTTATTTGATGATCAATAGAATACTATTGACATGCATTATTTTGCTGATGTATGCCATATACCAGTATCCACCAACCAATGAAACTCTATGATGTCCTCCCATTAAAAAAAATTCATTGCCATTTTTTGCATATATTTCTTATGAATGAGAATAACTTTAAACTACTAAACTTGCAGTAGTGCTGATCAAAATTTTACCTTTAGTTAAGACATTGAAAAACTGCCAGTTTATGCAAAGAGAAGCTGGTCATGAGAGAGGCTATGTCAGAGCATTGTCATGCACACGACAAGCTCTCTTGGGTGGGCTTGACCAGTTTAACCAGCAGGTTATCTGACTGGACAATTTAAAAAATTGCATTGCAATATTCTAATGACTAGTTAATTGCAAGTAATTTTTGATGAAACAAGGACAATGGACAGGAATGTTTGAAATAGAATTTCATATACTGGGTGTCTCTAAATTCTGGACTCATAGGCAGATTTCTCTATTTACCCTTATTTTATTAAGTGTTAAAAATTCATGCCATTAAGTTGCATTTGCCTATCAATTCTGTCACATAATCCCTTATGAACATTGCTCCATATTGATTTTTGGCTATCCCGAATGTTCTCCTTCAATTTGTCAATATTGTGTGGCTGTGAGTTATGATTTCAGATGTCCCCAAAGGAAAAAGTCCAATGGGGTGAAATCCTGACCTTTGCTTGACTTGTATCATCACCCATTTTCTTCAGTCATCTGAAATTGAAAGAAAATTTTAATTAACCTCAAATACCTATGAGTCTGGACTTTGGAGACACCCTGTACATTCATGCACAAGTCTAAAGTATACAGGATTTTAAAAATGGCTCCTCATTTCTTGGGACACTGCATATATATATATATTTGAAAATTCCACCAGTTCAACTTGACAGGTCAGACCCACCATCCAGAACATGCTTCTTTTTGTCTTTTATGTTAATGAAAAACATGTATTTTTGAAAATGCTATGCACTAAAAAATAAAAATAATCATAAAAGTCAATAACTGCCTTATTTCAAGTTAAGCAACTGGCAATCATATCATTTGCTTCACAAATTTATTGTTAAATGTGCCTTGTTTCTACAGTTGCATGCATATCCTGCTGATGAACTAATGCCATTAAGCTGCAAAGGAAGATACAGAGGATCTGAGCAAAGCAGAGGAGACATAGATGAGGCCATTGGGAAGTGAGTGCCAGTTGTTGATTCTCTCTTGCTTTATTGAAATTCCAATATGTTCATCACTTTTAGGTTGGCTGCATTGGTACAAAGTTTTGCAGTGAGATTGACACTTAAACCTTTGAGCTTCAATAGTTTTGTTCTTTTCAATTGTTTTATGTAGGTGATTGGGAGGGGGATTCTCAGCTTGCCTTAAATATGTTTAAATCCTGTGAAAAAAATTTAGTTCCAATTGAAAAAACACTACCATTGCTTAGAATGTACCTTTCTTCAACTTTTCAGCTATGAAAGTTTTTTTTTTCTGCTTTTAAAAAATTGCGAGTATCATCGGCTTAGGAAGCTTGGTAAGACACTATATATAATGTGAGCACAACGGAAAAAACCGCAAATATTTTATGCTTGCAAAAAAAAAGTTGCTGCTACCTTTCCGAGAAGGAAACATGGTAGCAGTAAAGCAGACAGTTCAACCTCATTCACAAAATAGTGAAGAAGGGTTGAAAAGGGTATGCAATGGAAAAAGAGCCTATCATGTAACGTATCACCACTTCTTGTAGGCGAAGTAAAAGAGGAAACGTCGGATTCTGTTTCCATCCGGACGGAAATACCAGCTACATTCCTTACCTTCAGAACGGAATTCGCTTTGAAACTGCAGCAGAAAATGAGAACGTCTTTATTTTATGCATTTGGGCTTGCGCGAAAGGAAATAAGATAGTATGGAATAGCGAAAGGGAGTAGAAGCTGCATCTTCCCGTACGCACTTGTTACTGGTTTTTTTTGTGAACCTTCCATAGGCAGCTCAGTGTGACAGCGATGAAAAGTCATCTTTGGGTTCTCCCTGTTAAACGATGATGATCTACGAGGGATAAGACGCCATTCCGATATGAAAGAAAGAAAAAAGTCTTGCGTGAGAGTTACTTAATTCGAGCCGCAGGCGAGGGTTACATTGAGTGAAGGAGATGGGATCCTATCTGCGAGGATACAAAGGTGAAAGCTTGCTCTGGGAGTCGGGAAAAGGAAAGAGAAAGATGTGTAGCCAAGCAATGACGGAAATCATAGAGATCTTTTCGCTCCGGCTCCTTTGCTGAATCCCTCGTTTCCTCATTCAAAGATGCCTTTTTATTTAACGCCGAAATCGGCCCACAGTATCACGCCTTGATGGAGTTTTATATCTTTTAATAACTCAGACTGCTTCATGTCACTGTGTATGACGCTGAACTTTTTCCCCCCTTATTCTCCATTCGCTTTAGCTTCTCTCTCACGCTTGTGGACACCATGGATACTCTCGCCGTAAGTGATGCACTCTTGTGGTTTACGCCTCTCTGCATAAGGCCTGGTACTCTACAGATATTCTTACTGTTGGATTTGTTCATGTGTAGATCTTGGGGGACTTGGACGAGTTCGAGAAGGCTGTCAAGCTTGCTTCGAATATCACTTTCGCAAGAGACGTGATTGTATCTGTCTTCGAAACCAATATTCGCATGGTTGGGTAAATGCATTTTCTACGGTCTTGCTCCTTTTCTCTCTCTCTCTCTCTATCTGTGAGCGTGAACCACTTAACCGCTTTTCATGCAGCTGTCTTCCCCTGTTCTTGTTACGTAATCACAAAAAAGGAGTTCCGACCTGTTTAACAGTAACTGTTGTGTCGTTGACAGGGGGTTGTTGTCCGGACATATATTGGCAAGCTACATGCAAGACCGGCTGGGCCGGTTGCGATGGTATCGTGGGGAACTCCTGAATTTGGCCAAGGAGCTTGGATACCGCCTTCTTCCTGCTTTCAATACCTCAACTGGCCTCCCCTATGCCAAGGTAGGAGCCTGAAACGTGTTAAAGTGCGAGAGCCTTGAGTCTGATCGATTTTTTTTTATGTTGACGCGCGGTGGGCACCTAACCGGAAATGGCTGCTTGCCTCTTTGCGTGATGACTGCCTACTATCCCCCAAAATGTCTTTCATATTCATCTCAAACAGCATTTTAGCCATTTTCAACTTTGTTAAATGTCCGAGAATGCAAACGCTTTTGTACTGCAGTTATTTGACGAAAGTAGCGTTCGAGTGGAAATTCTGTGAAATTATGAAACAACGATGGCATTTGTGAATAGTCCACATTGCATCGATATTAATTTTAATATTTTCCTTGTCTGCAGGTTGAATAACTTGGTACGTAGGGTTCATTATGATCATAGAAGAGAATTTTATGTAGAAAGACGTGAGTCACGATATGAATGAACTGGCCACACAAGAAAGGATCCACTTTCTCTACCGGGATGATGAGTGGCGTAATGTCGGGCTTTGTCGTTCCGGTACTCTGAGCAGCTGCGGTCTGCACGGTCATGGATCGTGTCGGGGTTAAATGATCCTCGTGGGCACGTCGATATTGAGCCATCAAACAACACGTAAATGTTACAGGACCCAGTCCCCGTAAAGTAGTGTCGTTCTTGCTTTCTCGCGATGACTTTCAGTTTAGCAAAATTAAGCCATGAGAAGTCGTTGCTTTGTCGTATCCTTGGATGACGAGCTGTTGATAGCACTTGGCGGCAGGATGATGAAAACGTTGGGTTGTAAATGTGCGTGAAATTGCTTTGCAGGTGAACCTGCTTCACGGCCTTCCCCAGGAGCTTCTGGCTGGCTGTCGGGAGACCTGCACTGCTTGTGCCGGGACCATGATCCTGGAATTCGGGGCTCTATCACGTCTCACCGGGGAGCCCATCTTCGAGGTGCGACAAAAAAATTCTCCTTTCATTGTCCGATGACGAGGAAGTGTCAAATGTTAAGTGGGAAAATTGCGGAAGAACGCCATGCTCGGTGAGCAGGCGACGGGCATTCATCGAGAACCAGAGAGAGCTTCATTTTCCTGTTAGCGGTTTTTTCGAGCTTTTTCTTGCTCCCGCTATCGAGGAAGGAGAGGGAGCAAGGGAGATAGAGGGTTGCTTTGAGCTCATCAAGATGCATGTAGAGCGTGGGTGATAATAGGGAAGCCTGAGATAGACCCTGGTGGAAGCAAGGCACGTGCGGGGTGCGAGAAACCGTTCTTCTTCCCCGGTCCCGTTTCGATTCCATCATCCGTCTCGTTCGCGTAATCGACCTCTACTTATGGTACTCTAGTTTTGACCTTGGCGCGGCTTGGGAAAAAGCTGAAAGCCATGATTTAAGCACCATGGTGCCCTAGTTCCAGCCGCAGCTGGGCGAGGGAAAAAAAGCGGAAGTCCGTGGTCATGACGATGGCCTTAATTTGAATCGAAGTCAAGTCGCTCGTCATCGCCCCCCTGCGAGCGGCTGGATCGACTTCTCTCATTTCCTTCGTATTCGTTTGTGGATGCAGAGCCGCATATATTTTCATTGATAATCATTTATTGCTTGCGGGAGCGTCATCAGCATTTTTTTTTTCACTCTCGACTTGCGTCAGCGTTCCTCAAACCCATTTGTTGCCATGTTGCGATTCGTGCCTCAAGTGCACGTAGCAACCATGCATCCATCGGAAGTTTTTTTTTTTTCTCTGCATCACGCCTAACCAGGGCGGTGAAATTGATGGTTGGAAGCAGTTTTTGTATGGATGCACGAATGAGGAATGCATGTCCCAGATTACTCCGGAAAGCAGGAAGGAATACGGCGATGAAATGGGGTCACAGTGGCGGGTCTAGTACTGTAATCGGGCAAGTAAATTTTTTTGCTTTAAATTGCGATTTGGCTAGATCTAAATTGCAAGCAGTCTCTTATGGTTGGGTTCGCTGTTTGAAATAGCTTCAGAAATTGAATATGTACTGTGAAATTTGGCATGGGCATAACTCTGTGAATATGGGCAGAGTTTCTCTTTTTAAAAAAATTCAATGGAACCATCATTAAACGAGGAGAATGCGAGAATGAAAGTGAGTGTCGCAGTGAGAATAAAAGTCTGTGCGTGCAGAGGGAGGTCGAACGGCAGAGGCAGCTGATGGTATGATGGGCCGTTCCCTCGGGTGTCTCCCGGGCTCCCCTTGTCTCTGACGGGATCCAATCCCCTCTTTGCCTGGGGAGGATGAGCTGGAAGAGATCTAATTTCATTCTGCCCTCTCTCGTTTTATTTCTTTTTTTGCCTTTCTCATTTCCCTGACGCTGGATGAACTCTGAAATTCACTCGAGTGATATGGCTCTATGGAGACTTAGTATTAGTCTGGAGTTCAGTCCACGGGCTGGATGTGTTAGTCTGGTCCCTGTCTTGTTTCAAGGAGCACATCCTTGTTTAAATCCTCTCAGGCTTGCATTTACAGAGAACAATTTTCGTTCGCACGTTGAAACAGCCTTATCTGCAAGCTCTTCTCGTTTTTTTTTCTTCGCAAAAGGATTTACTAAGATCAAAGTCACATACAGTCTTTTACTATTAGGATTGAAGTTATCATTATTGTCGATGTCTTCCCTCGCTAAAAACTTGACGCGTTCAATTAGCTTCGTGATCGTACTGCTGTGTGGATTTATTCTGGCAATTCTCGGGTAGTTTGAAGCTCTCTCTAAAATAAGAAAACCGTTCATTTACGTAAAAAACAGTCTCAAACCTTTGACATAACTTGCGCCGATTATGTATCGCAAATTTGATTTCTCCATTCAGAACCTCAAAATTAGATTTTTGCATAACTGAAAGCCGTCAGCTGTAATTGTGCAGTATACAGGGCTGTGATGAGGAATTTGATGCAGTTTCTTGGCATTTGAAAAGACAGTTTAATGAAATTGTGGTCCCTGATGGTTTGATTCCTTATTTTGGTTATCTTTGATGTTCAAAGTGACTTGGATATGACTTTGGCAGGTGAACAAATAGCAAGGATAGGGATTACAGGTAAAGGAGTATATGAAGCACAGGATATGTAGCTTAATAAAAAAAAGTTTGCACCCCCTCTGTAAGTGAAAGTAATGCAGATGATCTAGGACTGGTCGATGTTCCTGATTGATTCTTTAGATCAGCTGTGAAGTCCTCCTCCCTTATTTTTTTGTTGTTGCAAGCTTCATTTTATAATAAAAAAATGTACATGAGGTACTATATGTAATCACCTACATGTCTGTCAGCCTGAAGCTGATAACAGATCTGGCTCAAAAGGCACGACCTTATTTCCATCATGAAGTAGAATTTCCATGCCAGAAATCAGGGGATCAACCATGTAATTTAGGAGAATATTTGGAACAGAGACACAAATTCACATACACCTGCATGTTTCCTGGCATGCATATTTTTTTAAATTGGGATTTCACATTTGGAGGATTAAGAGGTATTAACCTGACAGAGATGAAGGTGGAGAAAGTTTTCACATGTCCTCATAAAAAGGTATGATATGATTCGCAATATCTACTGATTGATGTTTTTCATTTTGTGGAAAGATTCAGGTTAACTCTATATAGGGCAAAATACTGAGAGTTCATAAAAAAAATTATTATTTTATTTGCAAACTCCCTACATGCCTCCACATAAAAATTGTGAGAAAAAAAGTTCCAACACCACATCTATGCAATAACAATTCAAGGGCATATGTGTGACCCTTTTGCTCTGGTGGGATATATATATCCCACCATCCCTCTCAGATGAAGCAAGATACAAGTGACTGGAAATTATTTTTCCAGTGAACTTTAAAGGGTTAAATCTGGAATACTACTGGATATTACACATGATAGTATGAAGCTTTAAGTAATTACCTGTATGTTGTGTGTATCTTTCAGGAGAAAGCAAGAAGAGCACTAGATGCATTGTGGCACCTAAGGCACAGAGCAAGTGATTTGGTTGGGACTGTGTTAAATATACACAATGGTGACTGGGTTCGCCGAGATTCTGGAGTTGGTGCTGGCATTGACTCCTACTATGAGTACCTTCTCAAGGGTTACATTCTCCTTGGGGAAGACAAATACCTCAACCGTTTCAACAGAGTGAGTACTACTGTAACTGAAGACTTCTAGCTTTTCCTTTATTTATTGCTGTATGGAGTTGAATATTAAAAGTTGAACATCTTGACCTCATTAATGCTTTGGAGTTGCATGTTGGATAGTAGAACTTGATATTTGTTATTTTTAAGTCTTTTTCATTTTCATTGTGCAGCATTATCAAGCAGTAATGAAGTATGTGAGTCAAGGGCCACTCCTCATCGATGTGCACATGCATCGTCCTCACACAAATGCCAGGAACTTCATGGATGCTCTCCTGGCTTTTTGGCCTGGACTTCAAGTATGTTTTGATTTTTGTTTTATTTCCCCTTTTGATGCTCTACTAAAGGATTCAGATGTGAATTTATTTTTGTTTACCTAGGTTTTGAAAGGGGACATAAAACCTGCTATTGAGACACATGAAGTCTTGTACCAAGTGATGCAGAGGCATAACTTCATTCCAGAGGCATTCACCACTGATTTTCAAGTAAGCTTTTCTTGTTTCATGGAGTGAACAGTTCAAAAGGATAGGGCATTGAGTTTTCAGTTTCTCTCCTATTCAATGGTCAAGTGCAAATTGTTGTGAAGAGTGTAGGTTTTAATAAGTGTCATTGTCTGATGTTTCATATCTCTTTGAGAGATTATTTATGAGATGGAAGGCCATATTTTGGCCAGGGATTGCCTATGTTGGCTGTTCAATTTCTCCAGCAATGTCTGCACACAAAAAACTCATGGCAAGCTAAACTACCTACATAAGAACAGGAATCTTATCTAGAACATGTAATAAATTTGAGTAAAGCTTCTCTTTAACCCTTTGAGGAGTGAGTTTTCATACTCCTAGGATGCTTTGGAAGAAAATTGTTTGAGGTCCCTCAACTATATATATATGTCGAGAAAGTTCTTGATCATAATGTGGTAATTAATAGTCAATTTTTGTGCATTTAAGGCAAATAATGCAACAAACTCAATATGGATAATTTACACAATGCTTGGAATAGAAATTTCATAAAAATTATAAAAATGTGTATTTATGGGCAAACTCCACAAAGGGTTAATCTGGAGGTGCATATTCAATTGGCAGCTGAATAAAAGTTGTGAAACATCTTTGCATTGTATATTCTGATAATGGATTCAAGGTCATTACTGTATGTGTCAGCAGAAAATCAGAAGTCATTACACATGGGTCAGCGCTTCTGATCACACCTGTTGTGTCTACATGTTTATTAGGGTGACCCTTGAAATGCCTTGAAAATAATGCTTGAGAAAAACTTATCTTTACCTTAGCCTAAAAGTTCACCCATAGCAAGAAAAGCTCCTAAAGGAGCCTCAAAGAACACTCCATCATGACCTTGACTATTTCTCAGGCAAATGATTCCATGCCAGTAATATGGTCACAAGGTGGGTGGTGAAATGGTTTGTGCCACCAAATTCACAAATTTCTAGATGCCATTTTGGAATGAAAGCACATGCTTTAGTGGTACTATATGCATTGATGTTTTTACAAGTGCTAATTTTTGCAGAATATTAGGAAGTTAGTATGCTTAATTGTGTTGAAAATAGTTTTTCCTGTTGTGATAGTAGAGGATAGTCATATCAATGCTTTGAGAAAAAAAACTTATTTCTCAGTACAGAGTATTCTCCAAATCCTTTGCTTATTTTCTGAAAATTCCTCTTTTGAGAGACCTGCACTTTGTGTAATTCTGACAGGTTCATTGGGGTCAGCATCCATTGCGACCTGAATTTTTGGAGTCCACCTATCTCTTGTATCATGCCACTGGTGATCCTTACTACCTGGAAGTTGGCAAGAAGGTTCTCAAGAGCCTTCAAATACATGCACGAGTGCCTTGCGGTTTTGCTGCTGTGTCTGATGTTAGGACAGGAGTTCATGAGGACAGGTATGTGATTATTCCTCTTCAAGGTCATCTGGCAGAGATTTATGGTGGCCCTCAGACCACAATAAAACTTGGAATCATAGATGATAGAAAATTCTATCCCAAAGTTTGGTGAGACAGGCAAATGCAGAAGTATATATAATAACCTGTGACATATTCCCTGGAATGACTTCAAGATCTTAGAAATAAAAAAAATTTTTATGGTCCTGTTCAGCCTAGTCTTGTTATGAAAGTTGTATGACTTCATGTTTTGAGCCTGAACAGCTGTTTTGACCTTCAACTAATCTGCAGAGGATGGAGAAAGTTTGGAAATCTGGGTACATTTGATTTACGCTTTTGAGGCACAGATCCCAATAATAAACATATCCATGTTTTAGGATGGATTCCTTTGTGCTGGCTGAGACTTTCAAATACCTCTATCTCCTGTTTGCGGAGCCAGAGGAGCTTCTCCTTGATCTTGACCAATTCATTTTTACGACAGAAGCACACCTTCTGCCCTTGTCACTTGCACGACTTTCAAATGTCACTGCAATTCCTGTGAGTTCTGGAGTCTTCTTACTTCTACCTTATGTATTGGATGCTGTAGTGCCTTCTCTTATTGCACAAAACCCACTCAGAGATGAAATGCTGCTGAAGTCCCCCATTCGTAATATGTAACTTACATGGGTTTTGCCTGTTGATATCCATTGGTGGTGATGAATTAGTCAAAAGTATCAAGTTGGTTCATAATTCCAGTATGCTGAACATAAAATTTAGAGCACCAGTAAGATATTTAGAACAGTTATTTCATGTGGGCAATCCATCAATGTTGATGTGGTTATTATTGGCCAATGAAGATGGAGTTAGATTGTCCCCTCATATCCTTATGCACTATGTTTGTTGTCAGCAGTCTCTCACATTTAATCTTCATACCCTTGATATAATATAACCTTGATATAGGTGACATAATGAACTGTGGAAACTACAGAGGTATAAAACTGATGAGCCACACGATGAAACTGATGGAGAGAGTGATTGAGAACAGATTGAGGAACATCGTGAAGATTAGTGAGGAGCAGTTTGGTTAAAAGAAGGGAAGAAACCTATGTTGGAAGAAGAACAATGGAGCTGGGTTTGCCCGGAAAGAGAGGAAGAGGAAGGCCTAAATGGAGATGGATGGATTGTGTTAGGAAGGACATGAGAGGGATTGGTGCGGAGGAGGAGGATGTCCAGGACAGAGACAGATGGAGGAGATTGGTGTCTGCTGCAGTGACCCCACATGAAAGTGGGAACAGCTGGTAGAAGAAGAAGAAGAAGACCCTTGATATAATATAATCCCTACCTATCTCTGTGTGAGACTCTATTTTTTAAGATACCAGGATTCTACTAGAGTTTATGTTATTTTTCCAGTGAGTACAGGTGACAGGTAGGACACTTTTGTTCTTTAATGATCTACATTGTTTTTCTTTGAAAGACAGATAACATTAGCTGTTTTCATCTGCAAAGGTATTAAATTAAACTGGCTGAGGGGATGAAAATTGTCATAATTTGCAATGGATTGCTATTGGGACCTTAAAAGTTTTTCTCATTGGAATGGTGATAAGATTGGCTATGGCTCATTTTGGGTGCAGAGTTCTTTGGTGAATGGATAGTCTTCTGGTGAAGTTTTTTTTTTAGAAATTATAGATGCATAAGTTTAACAAGATCCTTGTTCTTAACTTGTTGGTGAACCTGCCCTCTTTTTGTAGTTTTATTTCATGTGCTATGTTCTGTTCTTGTTTAGGTGCCTGAAGGAAAGGAAGATTCTTTCCTGTATGATGTGATAGAAGAAGATGATCTCACATGTCCCAATATCCACTTCCTCTTCCCAGAAGACAGCGAGAAATTTGCTTCTCGCATTCGTGAGCCACTTCAGCACCTGGTGGAGGATGTTTTTCCTCCTTCTCGAATGCCAATCAAGAGGAGGCTCCGTGCCTCCCAGTTCCAGGTATGTCTTTAGCCTGTCAAGCTTGTAATTTTCTTAGCAAGGTGGAATCCACAACTAGTAAATATAATGAACTGCAGCAATATATTTGTATATCTTCTGTATTTTATGTAAAAAACTGAACATGAACTCCTTTATTTTATCTTAATATGTAAGTATATAGTGCAGTACATGATACATTTGCCACTTAAAAAATGAACATAGTGTATCAGGAACATTGGTCATGATGGATATATCTGTCATAACTGCATGAAAGGTTAAAAGAGCCACCTGGTGATGTCCCTCTAAACAGCAATATTGAAGAGTATTCCTATTATTGCTATATTGCTGATTGAATCAAATTACAGAATTGAACAAAAAATCTGAAAAGTGGACAGAAAGAATTCAGAATCATGTGCAAAATGTGAATTGATATCCAGGTGGATATGTAACAGAAAGTGAAAGTCAAGGCATAGAAATAATATGTGATGGTATTTTTCTGTTCCAATAGTTTTAGGACCTTTATCAATTTTGTTGAAAGAAGTAAAGTTTCATGCATTATAAGGCCAACTAAAAGGAAAACCATTGAAAATTAGGAATTTGGATTTGTGTACTTGATAGGTATAATTCAATTTCTTTTCATGCCTTGATGTTGCATTCTCTTTCACTTTTCTTCCTTCCTTCTCTTTTTTTTCCCTTCTTGATCCTCAAGGTGCTCTTTTACTCCCTAATAAAGGCCCCAGATACACAAAGTTAGGATTCTTTACTTGTAAAAGATTTTCATAATATTGTGTACTTGAATTTTACTGTCTATGAGAAGCTGATGCAGCAGCATGAACCTATGCCCCCAAAATTGATAACAATCCTTGCAATGTCAAACTGTATGGCAATCATAATTCACATTTGTTGTTTTTAACCATAAACTAGACAATTTATTTTCCAATATAGTTCTTTGTTCAGAGACAGATGAACCGATACAGAAAACAAAAATCAGAATCATATTGGACCTTAATCATACATGTGCAATGGCATCTCACTTGACCCCCACCACCCACCAGAGATCACAGCATTTGTTCTATCAATTGAATTCTCTCCATGCTTTCATGATATTACTGAATAAAGGGAAAGCCAATGTCACAGCAGGATTCCTAATCTCTTTGAGCCTAAGCCATATTGGCCAATTACCAAGTATCTTTCCCTATTATGTGATATAATCTCAAAATGGTTTAAAATCTGAGGTGCTTTGTGGATATTGTCAGTTCACCTGATCTTTTCTCAGTTGATCTCGTTTCATTCTGCCATCGCTCAAGTAATTAATTCAAAAAGATTAAATTCACCTTACCTTGATAGGATCTATTTCAGGGAGGATTTGGTAGTTATTGAAACTTGATGAATGAATTCACAGTTCCCCATTTTCCATGGTTGCAAAGTCCTAGTTTAAAAAACAGTAAGGTGATAAGGAGAGATGCAACAATATTTTATCTGTTAATAGGGTGATCAGGTATGTAATGTTGGTACTTTCAATATCAGTGTCTCCAGTCAATATCGTATAATATCCCATATATGGACGGGAATTGCTCAGACTTTCATAAATTCCTTCAGATGCACATATTGGAAACTTGAACTCTGCCTGTGTCGTCAGTACATGGACACACTGGGCACAATCGAATTGCTGTATTTCTTGCATCTTGTCAACCCTTTGTGGAGAGCTGTATCTTGAAAATTCACTGCCAGCTAAGTGGTAGTGCTGGTATGGATTTGCATTACATATTATATAATTCATCCATGAAAGTAATGACAGCAAGAATGCTCTCCACTTTCTTTTTTCACTGCCTTCTAGAAGCACATGTCATTAGTGTACAGTGAACTAAGTCACCTATGTCGCATGCCATCAAAAGCTGGAAAGTGGAAAACCATCATGAGCTAACAATGAACTTGCCCTGAGCATGTACTTTATGGAAGGGTAGGTGCTCCTGTACAGAAACTACCCCATGATGGCATGGGGTCACATGAGTGCAGTCCCAATGAAATTTTCCATCAACTTGGTGAAAGAAGGTGCTAGACATGGAAGTAGGAACCAGATCTGATGCTTTAGTGTAGCATTTCCCAACCTTATTGACTGGACAACCTATATTTTATTCATTCAAGACTTTGCAATCCTTAATGTTTTTAAACAGAATTTTCTTTCCAAAAGGGAAAGGGAATTTTTTGTACCATCTCATTCGTGTCCATGCACTCCCCCTTCATTCTTCAATGATGACTAAGAATTTTCCTTAATTTTGTTGAACATCATTATGCTGTGTACTGGGTGTTTTATGCAGGAAATGATGCAGGTTCAGTTAATTTTATTATTATTTTAAGATTGTGCAAATGCAGACATTCTGTAAAAAAAATTCTCAATATGCCCATAAGTTTGACAATGGACATTGAGTGGAAACGATGGATGTTATATAAAGAATTCCTGCTTTCTCTGGCTCCACACTACCATCCACCCTTCCTCAGCTACTTTTAAGTTCATATACATTCATGTTTAAATGAAGTTTTACTTAGTATAACAAGTTGATAATCAGAGTTGATTTATATTACATTCAAGAAAATGAGTCTCTGCTTTACTTAAAGGACTCCTTTTTCTGGGCTTACCTTGCTGGTATAAATATTTTTTACTACACTGGCATTAAAGATTGAACCATTGAAATGTATTATGTAGATATTAGGTACTGATATTGGTTATGGGATTTTAATATCTTTGCATCTCATATAATGAATGATGAGATGGTTCTGATATTGAACCTTGCCTATCTGAATGACTACCTGGTGTAGTTTTATAACCAGTGCTCTCAAGGAGGGATGCATGTATGTTACCATCCTTGTATTTAGGCAGCAAACCAGGAGCACTTGAAACTTCTTCAAGAAATGGGGATTTCCATCATGGTCCTTCCTGATGGACGAGTTCAGCTGTCACATACTGCAGCTAATGTAAGGACTTTATGCATCAACTATTTCATGTAAATGATCACCATGGTGGGGAAGCTACATTATTTATTTGTTTCATTCCCTCCATTCTATCACAGGCAAAGAACCCAGAAGCTGCACATGAAGGACTCCTATTTATGCAAGAAATGGTGGACATATCAGCAACTTCTGGTCCAGAAAGTGTGCCCAAAATGGTTTCATGGACTGTTTCATTGGGTGAAGGGGTTATTGCTTTGGATGGAGTAGAAGCTGGTCCAGCACATTTTGGTCATGAAATTAAAGAAGGAGAGATTGTAAGTCTCAGCCAATGTGTTTTGTTGATTATTCACCTTTTCAAATAATCTTTTCTTCACTAACTGAAAAGAAGAATACTGTATTATGTTTTGTCTTTTTTTACTTCATGAAGCAGTTTGCTGTCTTGCCTGACTCATTGAAAGCATTTTTACTGGCTACAACTTGAATGTTCAGGCTAGCTGCAATGCACATTTTTTTCAGATTCAATAACAAAATGTAAAAGTGCTTTGGGCTTCGTGGTTTTGTGCAGAAAACCTCCTCCAATTTTTAGAGATTAGCTTGATTCTCTAGAAAACTTGGGGACTTGGACAAGAGGTCTAAGTTCAATTGGACATCCTAAAAAACCACTGTTGCTCTAATCTCTCCTTTTCCCTCCTCTCCTCCACCCATGTATTCACAAGGGTTATTTCAATATGTAGGTGAGGTTTGTCTTCTGAGGCTGTTCAGTATCATAGAATAGGTACAAGTATTTCTTTATAGCATGTGGCAAAACTGGTTATACAATGCCTGGTAATACTGTATATGATTAGAGTTTGATATTATAGTATCTACTCCTTCTCTTTCAGGTTTCTGGACAAGCAGTTTTGGTAGAGCCATTTCATGTGTGCAGTGACATCCAGAACAATGGGGAGTTGATTGGTAAAATTGCTGTGATGGAAAGGGGGAACTGCATGTTTGTGGATAAGGTTAGCTGCCTGGAAAATTCTGTATTTGTCATGTTTTGAAGTTTTTTTTTTTTATCATGCTCCTCTGGTGCCTTGCATTAGGCTCGCCGAGTGGAGAAAGCTGGGGCGATAGGTGGAATTGTGGTGGACAATGTGTCTGGGACGAGCAGTGCAACTTCACCCATGTTTGCCATGTCCGGTGATGGGACGAATGATGTGAACATTCCCCTGCTTTTCCTTTTTGAGACAGAGGGCCAGAAGCTTCTTAGTGCCATTGCTCACAGTTCTTCTCTGGAGGTCATGCTCAGTGCCAAACTTCCTCATTTGTGTAAGTTTACTGTGTGACTATCCTCATTACACATAGGGCAAATCCCTTTGGTACTTTTTTTTTTGGAATTTCAGGATTCTTGATAAATGATGGATTGTTGAAATGTTAATGTTTGAATTTGATTGTTGGCGTTTTAGCAGCCAAGAAGGAAACTGTGAAGGAGCTTGTGGTTGATCAGGATGCTGCAGCAATTGGTGAAATTCCAGGGCCAGCAGAAGACAAGACTATCCAAGCCATGCGGCAGTCAGTCAAGAGGCATCTGGAGGAGAAAATTCAGGAAGAGGTTTGTGATTGATTTACACTTTGCTTCTCTCTCTTTCCCATCCCCCCTTCATTACTTCAGTAGTGGGGACTTAGTGGACCTTTGTGGTCCTTTTGTGCTGCAGCTGCAGGAGCGCATCCAAGCTAAAACGATGGACGAGAAGATCAAAGTCACAGTCCTGGACTCTGGAGATATTTGGGTTGAGGAAGAGAGAGATTCTATCATCACACAAACTGTTATGTATGTCGGCATCCATTCCCCAACAGAGGCATGAAACATAGTACTCTCCAAAAACATTTGCATTTTTTATTGAGTATGAGCAGGTGTAGTAATTCAGAAGCATTTTTGGGACTGATTTTCTCCTGCATATTCTATTCTTCAGAAAAGAGCAGAAAGCACAAAAAGGTTTTAAGTGGGAGTCACAATCTCAATATTTCTTTTAATAACGTTTTGCTAGGATTCTGCATTATAAAATAAGGATTAGATTCAATTCATTCAAGAACTGTCACACTTGTATGGATGCAGTGACTTATAATCTGATGTTGATAGTTGCTGCTTTCACCTGTTTGAGTGTCACAGCGTCTTGTTTTTTTGTTGCCCGCAGACATGAAGGTGTCAAAATATGGCAGAAGGGAATAGTGGAGAGAGTGGATGTGTCTAGTCAGTTGAAGGAGGAAACTAAGGCTACTCCTACCAAGATTGGAGAACAGTCTGTCAAATACGAGGAGTCGAAAGGAATAAATCTAGAGAGCGAAGAAGATGCGAAGAAGCTGCCTGGTGCTCTTGTGAAAGGAGTGGGTAATGGTGGTGAAAAGCAAGCAAGTGCAGTGGATCCTTCTGCAGAAAATGATTTCTCTGAAATCTTGGAGTGGCTTGAGGTGGACAGTTTAGGAGAAGGAAATCAAGTGATGCTGTCTGTTTTGAAGCCCACACTTCTCAAAATGATGGCCTTGGAGAAAGAACATAGCCAGTTGGATCAATCTTTGGGTGCATTGGATGGAGCCATTGACCATTTGAAGTCTCTTCTCAAGTCTGTCGATCAGCCTGACATAAACCTGGATGCTCTGGTGAACCGACCCCGCCAGAAAGCCAGCAGTCTGCAAGGGATCTTTTCAGACCTTAAGGAAAGAGTGAGAAATCTGGTGGATTTGAAGAAGAAGGATGATCTCAAACCAAAGCCAAATATCTTTGGGAGATTCTTCAACTCCCCGGAAGTAGTTCAGCTGTTGCTGACCTTGCTTGAGGGAATGGAGAATGATGAAGAAATGGTCTCTGCCGCTCATGCGCTCATCAACAGTATCCATGACCAGTCAAAATTCTGGCAGAGTTTGGCCAAATATCTTCGCTTCATTATGGGTCGACCACAGTATAAAGAGATGCTTGGTCATATGGTGAAAGAGCTTTCAGGAGAAGAGATGGACATCAATGAAGCCATAGAGGAGGCTGTGCGATGGTATGAATCCATGGCTTCTGATGCTGATGCCCAATCCTTGAACAGGACACTGCATCCCCAAGAGGTATAGAAATGGTACCTAGAGTTTCCTTGTGATGAGTGGCTTAGTGTTGTTTGATCTGTGATTCTCATTTCTCAAGTTACTATATATGCCCCAGATCATCTGGGTGTGTTTTGTCTGTTTATTCCCTCATGAGTGATTTCATTGAGTCTTGGATATGTTTTGGGGGAATTGGTTGTTCTTATGGAGCCCACACATGCATGACACTAATGTTGCACTGAATGGTGAATTTGCCATTAGGGTTATAGATTTCACTGCCTATTCAAAACCATTTCACTATTATTTTAAAACTGCTGAGAAAAGTTTTCCCCCCCAAGAATGTAAAGGAATTCAGTTGCAATAGTTATGTAAATCAATGGAAAAATGAAATGAGAATGGAGAATTTTCCTTCTCATTCATATGTGTAATGGGAATTTCTTCAGGCTTTCTATTCCTTCCTCTGAGAAGTCAGATCAAGATTTCAGGGAATGATAAGGAAGGAGAAAAGAAATGAGAAATTCCTATTCAAATTATGAGGAACAATCATCACATCAAGTATTCCTTGATCTCATATAACAACCAATTATTAGTAATTATTTCACACCTCTGCTTGCCAATGCACAGTGGGTGTTGTGTGAAGCTTATTTTAAGTTTTTGAGTTAGTATCTACCTCTACCTTTCTGGCTTCAAGAAGCCAGTGGGTGGAATTTCTCATTTCTTGCTCTTCTGGATGTCAACAGCTCTGTGAATTACATTTGATACTGCTGGCTGGAATGCCTTACGAATCATTTCCTGGCTAACCCATGACATTTTCCCTTCAAGCTGTAGGCAGCAATTAATGGTAACATATTGTATAGAAACAAATTTTGCTCTGCTCTGGCATTGGAGGTGCCTCAATCTTTTGGAGGAAAGCACCATGAATGTCTTCTCTTTCTGCATCTGCTGTTTCAATTCCAAGAGATTGAGGGAGATGCTGCATTTTCCATAAGGCTCAAATTTCTTTACATTTTTATATGGCGCTCCTTGGACTCAAATCATGGCGAGGGTGGTTTCATGCTTCAATGGTGTGGAAATGATCTGCTCTTTTGTGATGATTTTTAATTTCTCAATCTTCTTGCATCTTTTTACACACAGGCACATCATATCCTTGTTATCATACAGTATCTAAGAAAAAAGTGTTGGGCTGCTTGTGTAATTAATACACATATAAGAGGACTCCTAACATTTTTTCCAAGATTATGTATGCTTTAAGGATTTCAGTATTAAAATACTGTACAGGGTATAAATTAATTCATAATCTACTGGCCTCACCCAATTTCACTTCTTGCTTCAACAATCCCATCATCATGTCCAAACTCTGCTGTACCGGCATAGCACATTATTCCATTTATGGAGTCTGTGATAGCAGTGCATGAGAGAGAGAAAGAGACACACAAAAAGTACCAGTTACTTTGCTTTCAGGTTGTTACCATCACACAATTCTTAAATGAGAATATGTTTCTGACAGTTGTCTCAGCATGCACACCTTGGCTCTTCTATCCTGGTGGGCACAGTTGCTCATGGATTCCTTTCCAACTCTTTCTCATGCCTGTCCTTCAACTTGGAGCAAATGATCTGCCATCTTTTATGTATCCCTGAATGATTATTTTGAACTACCAGTGTTTAATATCATTTGTGGCAGATATTGCTTTCAGACAATTTTTTTTTAATTGGTAGATCGATTATCATGAAAAGGGAAAATATACCAGTGCATGCTATTGTTTCAAAGTGTATGTGCTCCTTGAAACTTGGACTGTGACGAGCTCAGCACTATGCATAATAAAACTGAAATTGAATGTTCCTCTGTAGTTTGTGCTGATTGGCTGGGCCCTGCAGTTAAGACACCACTTACAATTTAAGAGATCCAAAGGCTGCACTTTTTTTAATTTTAAATTCAAACTCTTGTACTAATCCAATCAATTCCATAGCATCACCTTACGAGACATCATTGCCTTGCTGAAGATGAACTCGAGATTTCCCTTAGCAAGAGCAATTTGTAAAAATGAGGGTTAAATGCAAAGCTGCTGGCGATTCCATCAGGTTTCTATTCTTGTGCGTGTCATCACACCCTCTAGGTAAATTGCATTGACTTACTACAATTAAGGGCCACGATGTCAGAGCGACTTGGTACTTCACTACCAGGGGGTTTTCACCCATGTTCGCTATAAATGTTTTCACTATATATGCTCACTTTTTTTTTCCATCACACTTTCTGAAACAATTCGAAAATAAGGTCCTGCGTTGTTCCTCTGCTCGTCCCATTTTAAAGTTTTGAGAAGAAAACCTAAATGTCTACTTGATGAAGCAGAAGGCAGAGGATAATTTCACATTCCATTCATAGTCCAAGATTAGTTCTAATCTCGGAACATATTTAATGTTAGAAGCGTTCGAACAAAGTGGGCTCATCAGCTCTGAACAGGGTGACACGAAGCACAGAAGTCATGACACGAAGCACTGAATGCCTTGTGCAATGACGATCCCGGTCACACGTGAATGAACCCAGTAACTGAAGGGCTGAAAGGAAAACTGGTCTCAGCAAAAAAAAAAAACAACTTTTTTCATGCATCAGAAAGAGCCAACCTCTTAAAAGCGAGGAAAAGGGATATACGTGGATTGACCAGTTATCCACTTACCCTAATCCCACGAACTGCCTTCGATGAAAAGAAAGGGGCCTGTGGACATGGATCAATGTTTCGTTTCTCATACTTTTTTTTTGCAGGCTGACCAGGATTTCTTTCAGCCCTTCGATTCTCCTTATCCTAACGAGGGACCTCATCTCTCAGATCTCTGCCGATCCATGCAAAGAGAAAAATTTTAATATAAAATTAGGAGGTGGAACAAGGAAAGGAGATTGTATCCCGACATATGGGGAATATTGAAAGGAAAGCATTGAGGCAGAACTCAAAATCCAGGCCATCTACCTCTTTCCAAGTTTATATTTCCTCATTTTCTTCGGTATCTTTCCTTTACGAGTTTAATTTAATGGAGCACACTCTGGAGAAAATGTTGGCACGCCCCGTTCGAGAAGCCTCATAGACCCAGTCATAGACCCATGCACTTTCTTGGCCCACAGCGAGGAAACGTGTGTGTGATGCCCGTGAATACCGGTTGAAGGGGCTCAGGTGGCAGTTTTCTTCGATGGGAATTCTCTCAGATTAAGAAGAGGATGCAGTCCGTCAAGCAGATGTCACGGTTCGCGTTCCCCAAAGGTAAGCTCCTCTCGCCACGGTTCGCCCACAGAAAAAGACTCGGGTGAAATGGTTGCAACCTTTAGTTCCGCGCGACTCCGTTACGACAATGTGCCCGACAATGAATCGACTTGAGAACTGGGAGAATTTCTCGACTTTGGGAAAGGTCAATGAATGGATTTCGTTTTGGCAGTCGCACAGAATGCGCCTGGACGCGGGAGGATGTTCGTGAGGCAGCTGGTGCAAAGCGATTCCCACCAGGATGCGGCCGAGCAGACAGAGTCTCCCGAGGAGGAGCTCTACCCGGGTCACATCCGGACGACGCCGCTGCAGAAGGCGCTGTTGGGAGTGGGGTCCACGCTCATGGCTCTGTACAGTCCGGCCAGAGACGGTAAGGGCGGGTCGGGGCTTCTCGCATCCGCGGTCGGACGCAGGTTGACCGAAGGTCTTCGTCGTCCGGTGCAGACATGGTGGCGGTGAACGGAGAGGTCACGGGAATGCTGGCGTTGCCGTGGATGCACCGGAAGATGCTCGAGGACGCCGAGGGGCAGCAGATCCTAAGGTGAGGAAATGCAATTTTCTTTTTTCGGGAAGAGTTTCTGACTGTCGGATGAGATCGGCGTCCGTCTTTTCGTCTACCAGGGAGAAGCCGAAATTAAATTCATACACAGTCGATTTGGATGCTCTCAGGTCATTACCCGAAGGGACTCTCGGGAGAGCGTACACTCAGTTCCTCGACGTAAATGTATGTTTTTTCGAGGCTTTCCATCTCTCGATTTTTTCTGTGGCCTCGACGTATCGAGAGGCCGTGCTTCTCGTCCTAACGTGCCGTAACGTGTGTATCGCTGGGGGGATTCATAGGGTGTGAGTCCGGACACGAGGCTCCCGGTTCGATTCGTGGATGATCCAGAGCTGGCCTACGTGATGCAGAGGTACCGCGAAGCCCACGACCTGATGCACACCGTCCTGGGGATGAACACGAAGCTAGTCGGGGAAGTGGCCGTGAAGTGGGTGGAGGGGCTCCAGACAGGGCTCCCCATGTGCCTCGGGGGAGCGCTCATGGCTCCCATCAGATTCCGGCCCAAGTCAGTTCCAAAGGGTGTGGAAGGGAGAGGGTGGGGCACGAGAGAGCCTCTTGCTCCGGAAAAAAGGGGCGAGGCAAAAATTTGCACGCACGATCCTGTCGATTATATTTTGTTGACGTGCCCAGCTTCTATGAACCTGGCAACCGACACGCTTGGATTATCTCGATCGAAGTAACGATGTTAGTAGGTCAATTAACCGTTCTTAACGATTTTTTTTCTCTACCCATTCAGGCAAAGGAAAGATTACGTGACCAGAGTCCTTCCATGGGCGTTGAAGAATGGTTTCAAAGGGAAGTTTATTCTCAATGCATACTTCGAGAAACGCTGGAGCCAGGATTTGAACGATTTCCGAAAAGAGTTCAACATTCAAGAGCCGCCGTCTGCTTAGTCGCTTTCTCTAGTTTCTTACAGTGCAATAAAGCCGTTCTTTGTCAACCTCTCGAGCGTTTTGAACAGAGATAGGGAGGGAATTCAGTCACCGTTAAGAATTTCACTGGGCCCGCTGGGAAAAGTAACGGAATAAGGGCATTGACCATGCGCCACGTTCGCAGTTTCCCTTTCAATCACGCCCCAGTTGGTCGGGGCTTCCTCCACGGTCCGTTGCCTTTAAGGGGGGCCACTAAACTACCACGTTCTTGCCGCGTTTACACACATCTGTCTCGACTCGACACAGACGTCCTCGTTTCTTTCAAAGGCATTCCAATTTTTTTTTTCACCCTCTTCCACTCGGAGCTTCCCTCAAACGACAACGGCAAATATTTTAGCTTTAATACTTTATTTCAAACCAAACCAGCAACACCAGGCGGAATGATCACAGGAATTGCTTGAATAAATAAGAGGAAATGCTCTGAATGGGACAGGGGACAGCCTGAAAATGTTTGTGCAGATCCAGAGGGACAACAGGTATAAAAAGGATGATTTATAGAAACCCTTCCTTCAAATTTCTGCTCACCACCAAAACTCAAAAATGGACCAGAGGACAGTAGGACAAGGAAGATTTGGGGCTAATTTAGAAAGGACACGGGGAAATTCTTGAAGTTGTGACCACTCGGCGAGATCAATGAGCATGAAGACTCATGAAGCTACCGAGCAGCAAATATCACATTTCTTCCACCCTCCTTTCCCGGAAGTACGTCTCTCTTGCCTATAATTCATCTTTGTACTCATCTGCCTCAGTGTCCTCCTGAGGAGGAGGGGCTCCACCTTGGTATAGCTTGGCAATGATGGGCTGGATTATATCTTCCATTTCCTTCTTCTGCTTCCTGAACTCCTCAGAATCAGCATCCTGATTGCTCTCAAGCCATTCGATCTTCTCGTTGATGACCTTCTCCATCTTTTCCTTGTCCTCTGTGGAAAGTTTAGCACCCAGCTTCTCCTTGTCACCGAGTTGGTTCCTCAAGGAATAGGCATAGGACTCGAGCTCGTTTCGGGCCTCGACTCGCTCCTTCAGCTTCTTGTCATCCTCGGCGAAGACCTCGGCATCCTTGATCATGCGTTCGATGTCATCAGGACTGAGACGATTGTGGTCATTTGTGATGGTGATCTTTTCTTTGTTGCCAGTACCCTTATCCTCAGCAGACACCTGTAACATTAATGCAGGAGAGAATAGAATTCATGACAGACAAAAATTGTCACTAAGCAAGATGCAATGAAAAACAAACCTGAAGGATGCCATTGGCATCAATCTCAAAAGTAACTTCAATCTGAGGAACTCCTCTTGGTGCAGGAGGGATGCCAGTAAGATCAAACTTTCCAAGAAGATGGTTATCTTTTGTCATGGGACGCTCTCCTTCAAACACCTGAGGGAGGAAAATTTGTTACTTTACTCATAAAAAGCTGTCAAATGAAAAGGCTAAAAAAATTCTATAAAAATTTTTTTTCCCAACCCAGGGCCTATGAATAAAATGCATGCTCATTTCTATATCTTGAAAAAAAAAAAAGTGGACATTGGGGGCTTCTAGTGTAAAAGAACTAAGGATATGAAATTATCATGGGTCAGATAGGCTTCCCCCAAAAAGTTACTTGAAACCAAACAAAGCATAAATCTGGATTCTGATGTCATGCTCCACTTTCACTTGGTGCACTGATTGCTCAAGAGCCAGAGGCTTTGGGCCCACATCCAAAGGGTTGCTCTAAAGTAGTTTCCACTCACTTGAATGGTGACTGTATTCTGATTATCTGAGGCAGTAGAGAAAATCTGGGACTTCTTTGTGGGAATGACGGTATTTCTAGGAATGAGCTTGGTCATGACACCACCAACAGTTTCTATGCCCATGGTCAGGGGGTTCACATCCAACAACACAATCTCGCCTGAAACATCAAGCATCAGAAGGCAATAAATATTTATTTCAAATGCAGTGACAATTCACTGGTGGAAACAAAGGAGACATTTGCTTACCTGTATCCTGTTCTCCAGAGAGTACTCCAGCCTGAACAGCAGCTCCATAGGCAACAGCCTCATCAGGATTGATCCCTCGAGATGGTTCCTTCCCATTGAAAAACTCCTTCACCAGCTGTTGAACCTTTGGGATTCGAGTGGATCCTCCTACAAGAACGATCTCATGGATGTCAGGCTTCTTCATGTCAGCATCTTCAAGAACCTTCTGGACTGGCTTCATTGTTGAGCGGAAGAGATCCTGTGAAAGGCAGGGTGTTGATGAATATTTTGGCCTAGAGGTGGTGAGCATGGAAATGGACATGTAGATCCACAATTTACCATGTTCAGTTCTTCGAATTTAGCACGAGTCAAGGTCTCAGAGAAGTCCTGACCCTCAAAGAAGCTTTCAATTTCAATTCTGGCCTGGTGAGCAGAACTGAGGGCTCTCTTGGCCTTCTCCACCTCACGCCTCAACTTCTGCACTGCTCGGTTGTCTTTCCTCACGTCCTTACCAGTCTTCTTCTTATGGAGCTTGATGAAGTAGTCCATGACACGCTGGTCAAAATCTTCACCACCTACAAGAGGCAGGTTTCAGGTATCAAACTGTCACGGTACAATGTATTGGTATAGATTGCATTTATGTTTACGAGGGGACCAAACTTACCAAGGTGAGTGTCTCCATTAGTGGCCACGACCTCAAAGACACCATTGTCAATCGTAAGCAGAGACACATCAAAGGTTCCACCACCAAGATCAAAAACCAACACGTTTTTCTCCCCTTCTTTCTTGTCCAACCCATATGCAATGGCAGCTGCAGTACTGCAAGAGCCATATAGACGAGCAAAATAAATGAAACATTCTAAAGATGCAAATCAATCCATCCTTCCAAAAGGACTTACGGTTCATTGAGGATTCTCATGACTTTGAGGCCAGCAATGGTGCCAGCATCTTTGGTGGCCTGTCTCTGAGCATCATTGAAGTAGGCAGGGACTGTGACGACTGCATGAGTCACTTTCTTCCCCAAGTAAGCCTCTGCAGTTTCCTTCATCTTGCCAAGAATCATTGCTGAAATTTCTTCTGGAGTGAACAACTTGTCTCCCTGAGCAGTTGCAACCTGTACATGTGGCTTGTTTGCCTTGTCAATCACCTGCATTTTGAATATAGGTAAATTATGATGAAATGATACCCAACTTCAGCCCAAAATAATTCTAAACCTGAATAAGACATTTATATTTTACCTTGAATGGGAAATACTTCACATCATGCTGCACACTGGAATCATGCCATTCCCGGCCAATCAATCGCTTGGCATCGAAGACAGTGTTCTCTGGATTTGTGGTGAGCTGATTCTTGGCAGCATCTCCAATGAGTCGCTCTCCATCAGGAGTGAAGGCCACATAGCTAGGGGTAATTCGGTTGCCCTGATCGTTAGCGATGATCTCCACTCTCCCATTCTTGAAGACACCAACGCTAGAAGGGGAAACACACATTAAGCTATGAAATCACTGGCTAGTTAACCAACATGCAAAAGGAGCAGAGTGAAAACTAACCATGAGTATGTTGTGCCAAGATCGATTCCAATCACTGTGCCAACTTCATCTTTCTTGTCATCTTTGGAAGCACTTAGTGCCACCAAAGCAGTCAAAATCACTAGTACTGGTAATGACTTCATTTTTTTTCAGTCAATGTCAATATTGTTGGTTTAAGTAGTACACACTTGTATGTGGAAAATGTTCACAGGCCTTGAAAAATTTCAGGGGGCACTCCTCCAGATCAGTAACGAAGTATCTGTACTTCACTGAACCCAAAAGGAAGGAAATTAAATTCAGCAACTAAATTATCAATTACCAATATTGCAGCAACCCTCTCATTTAAACATCACCCTGAGGTTTATGGCTAATTTTTCCCTTCAGTTTTCATTCATAATTTTTACATGACTTCGACTATATACCCTAGATCTAACGACCTCCTAAATTCCCATACACTGGAATCAGCCCATTGAAATTATTGAGAACTAATCTTTAAAAAATCTCAAATTTCCTAAATTTACATATGCCACAGGCCTGCCCAAAGTCAAAGCTAAGGCCCTCCTTAGAAGCTATGCTTCAGTAATTGAGTCCCAATGGGGAAACTTATATTCTGCTTCTTATATTTGGCCTTTTCTCAAGACCATCAACTCTCCAACAAGGAGCAAGGTCAATTTCCTGTGAATTGGGCCTGGGTTAGACAAATATATCATTCATCTCTTCCTTTCTTAGAATGCCGATGGGAATGAAATAACGGTATACTTCTCCACCGCATTTGTGATGAGTACCGTTGCATACAGACACGGACGAACGCATCGAATCCAACTACTGGAAGACCTAGGATCACATGATCCCATACATGACAAGGGTCGAACTAAATCGATAAGGGGCTTTAAACTCAATGAACACTTAGCCTAAAGAAGAGATTTGCGAGATAAACTAGAGCATCACACAAGGAGAGGGCGGAGAAGCACAACCGGCGAAAAGCTCACCGCGGCCACGAACTACACCGCATGTAAGCGGCAAGTGGAGGGTCGGTATTTTAGAGGGGGCATTCGCCTCGTGGCCGGCGTCCATTGGCTAGTCACAGCCGACGTTTCGGGTCCTCAGGCTGCTAACTGGCGAGTTCACCACGTTGGCGTGTTCCCATTGGTCCACGTAAGCAACGTCATCAGCTACGTGTGATTCCCCCGCTTCTCGAAATGTCTCGTATCTGCCCGTCCCGGATTCGAGACCTCCTTTCCGGTTGACGCTCCGATCCTGTCGATCTCACCCTTCATGCTTGACTTTGGCCTAGGCTTGTCCTATGCTTTCACCATTCAGGTAAGGCCATCGCTGACTCATGATAAACGCTACTTTCTCCTTTTTTATGATTTAGGTTACTCGTGTACGATAGGCCTAAGACCTTTGAGCCTTTGGACTTCGAAATTCCGTTGAGCCCACGCCGCAAGAGGAGGCCTATGGTGGGCTGTTTGCCCTCGTTTAACGTTAGGATTCCAAGTAACTCCTTTAACGTTAGCCCTGTTGAGTGAATATAACGGCATTTATTTTACTCTGTAGACAAGGACCACCAGTTTGGTAGCAAGAGTACATTTTAGCAGAACAAGGCATTCAAATGGGGGTGCCATAGGCCCAGGTCCGAATGTTGGAACTTCCGTTTGCTAACGGTTCTTTAAGACTCCTATGGGGTGGGGGCCATTCCCCCTTTTTTTTTAAAAATATTTTACTGTTATTTTGCCCTAACCCCTTTATCCCCCCTAAGTAAGGTTCCTGCATTCAAGCCAAGTGTTTTTTTTTTTTGTTAGAAACATTTTCATTTGTCTTACCCACTTGTGCATGTGATGTAACTCTTGCATTGGTGTTGGCCAAGTGGAAAATAATTAACCTAAGTGGAAAACACTTTAAAGGTGGATTCAGATCATGTTTTGTTCATTTCTGCAGTTTTCAGTATGTATATAGTTTTAGTAGAGTTAAACCTTTCCAAATTGGAACCTGATGAGGCAAGAACCTGTTTTATTTGAAGAATTCTGTGGTCCTGCAAGTTTCTGTATTATACAGGTTTTTACTGCACATGGGGCTGTTTTTCAGTATACCCTGTTCAATAAACTGAAGCAGACATATGAAACCAATTCAATGTTCAGTCTACTTGTTAAATCTTAGTTCATGGTTTGCTCTTGGGGCTTGGGAAAGTACTATTCAGCATTAGTTCCAGTTTCTGGATATAAGCATACTGGCTCTAAGCTTGAGTTGAAGTAGGTGTGAAACTAGGGTTAGACATAAAGCCTGACCCTAGTTTGAAGAATGCTGCAGCAATAGGATGTAATGTTGATAAATTGCCACTCACAAGACCAAATGATGACTGCATAGTTCAGCTGAGAATTTTATGCTGAATGTTTTGTCTTTCGCCATTACCTGATGCTGGTGTCACTTGTGATCATTAATTTGAATCTTGAATACAGCTAGGCCTAGCCAATGGTATTTTGGATGCCTCTTTAAAAATCTGAAATGTATGCTTATTCTGAAGGTGGTTCCAGGATGGAACTGCTGGGTCATGATGGACTGAGAGCGGCAACAGAGAATAAGCCCAAAGTTAAGGTACTTTCTGGAGAAGAGCAGCAGAAACTTCAAGATCAGAATAAACGTCCTATGTCAAGTTTCAAGCAAGAAAAGTTGTTGAAAGAAGTTCATATCAACTGGGACAAGTTTTATAAAAGGAATGAACAAAGATTCTTCAAAAATAGACATTGGACTATGCGAGAATTTGAGAATTTTCTGCAGACAGGAAGAGAAAGTCAGACTCTATTAGAAGTTGGATGTGGTGTAGGTAACTTTGTCTTTCCCTTGGTGGAAGCAGGGCTTGAAATGATCATCAAGATGTGTGACTTTTCTCCAAGAGCCATTGAATTGGTTAAGCAACATCCTCATTTTAACAGTTCCAAGATGGATGCTTTTGTATGTGATATTTCTTCAGGTTCTCTGGGTGACTTTATCATGAATGACTCAGTTGATATTGTGTCCATGATATTTGTGCTTTCATCCATTGATCCTCGGTCCCATGCATCCGTCTTGAAAGACATTTGGAGGGTTTTAAAACCTGGAGGAGTGTTGCTCTTCCGTGACTATGGCCTGTTTGATGCTGCACAAATTCGATTTGGACCTGGGCACAAGATATGTGAGAAACTTTATGTGAGGCAAGATGGTACACTGGCGTATTATTTTGAAGATCACGAAACTGAAAAATTATTCATGGGATGTGGATTCCAAATGCTGGACAACAGATATGTGCAACGTATAACTGAGAACAAGCAGAAGGGTATCCAGGCAGACAGGATCTTCATCCAGGGAATATACACAAAGGCAGATGAGGTTGGATGTAAGTGCTGTTCATTCCATATTTCCAAAAATAGGCCAGATGTTTGCTATGAAAATTTTCAATATCCATAGGGGATGTATTCAGGGGACAGGACTATATTGGTCATTTTTGTTTGAGGATCCTGCTTTTTCTCTAGTTGACTCCCTCAGAAGTAAACTTGTGAATGAAATCATTGGCCTCTTGCTTTCCATATGTTTCAAATGATGTTTGAATTGTATTTGCTACTCCTGCATCAATAATGCTGAGAATTTTTGCTGATGGAGAATTGTAATTCAACATGGTGTTGGACTAACTTAGGTTTAAACATTGATACACTTAATCATGTGTTTCTTGCTTTCTAATTTCAGTGACTGTATCCTCCCCATGATGTGCTGCCGATCATTAGGTAAGTCACAAAAGGTTTCATTGGAGATGAGTACTGAATTGATGAACCTTTTCTGTCTTGCTTAGGTAAATAGGTCAAGGACCAGTGGGGATCATGAATCCCCTTTAAAATTTATCTACTGACATTTGGTAACTGAATGCAGCATGGAGAAACAAAGCAAGTTTTGTTAGTGTTTATCTCTGTCCCTGCCCACAACGTTGGCATACTTTTTCAGTCTTAGCATACTTTCAAATGATATTTCCTATATAATTTTAGATATATTTTTTAGCCAATTTTCTTTATTCTTTTTTAAACTCCATGACATTCAATTGTAAGGGGTTTGCAAACTCCCTTCCATTGGGAAATGACATGCTAGGCCATTGATTGCTATAGTTGCCTCACAGATTCAAATCCCATTTAGTAGACTACTAGTGGATCATGAGTTTCAATACTATTACTTTGTGGTGGGATTACTCATTCCATGAGGGTTTTTGATAAGTTAAAAATGAGGCATGTCATCCCTTTGAAGTGGGTTGTAGGTCTGACTGCCTTCAATCTGAGAGGTAACCATACTGGTCATACAAGTACTATACACCCTATGATGGAATTTCACCAGACTTGTCTGATCATTTGGTGTGGAGACTTTCCTCACTGAGGGCATTGCATTATCTCTGTCTTATTTGTTTTCTTGGTGTAAAAGTGCATAAATCTTTGACTTCATTCCATGCAGATTACCCAGGAATCTCATTTGGGTATGAGCTGAAGTCATCTGACAAATCTTGCGGAGCCATTTCACCTGGATGTATGAAATGTCTTTCAGTCTAAAGTAAGTCCAGGACACATCTGTCATACCAGTCTCTTTACCCTTAAATCCAATCCAATCTCTGTTGCATAATAAAATGGATTACAAATGGTTTATGCAGCTTCTCTCATACCCCAGCTTAGTTGTAAATGGTTGTCATTGAGGGATTCTAGTCCACATGATGCTTTTGTACCCAAGTCAGACTGCTGAATGATGACTTCCCTTCATCACCCACCTTTTCTGATGGATTCATTACTAAATATATATCTGTAGGGTTTTTTTCAGGAATAGTATTTAGACTCAATTATTTATTCTATTTTCACAGATGCTGTACATGTCCAGATGCAGCATGACATGTTCCAAGTAAGTAGCACTTTACTTTTTTTTTGGGAGCACCAAAGTGGATCCTAACTTGAGAATTTAAATACTGTTTGTCATCACTTAAAGGTATATCTCTGCTGAAGAAATCTTTGCCTAAGTCCAAATGATGATTCTTTTCCACCAAGATCTCTGACAAATCAGTGATGCAATTTTTACCTTTCTGATGCTTAGTCATTCAAAGCCTATTACCATGACTTCCAAAATCTACTTAAACAAGACCGCTCAATGTCAGTGCCTTCTTTACTTCCTATCTGGCATCACAGCAGCTGAATCGAGTTGCTGCGTTTGGCCGAAGTGCAGTTTATGAAAGGACAGCACGACGATGGTTCGATTGTTTCCGGTCTGGAAATTACAGCCTCGAGAATGAACCCAGGTCAGGCCCCCCAATACATGAGTGCATATTATCCTACAAGTGTGTTCTTTTTGTGCATGAACTGTTTTATTTATTTGCAGGTTGAAATGGTAGGAATGATGGTGGGTTATGGCAATGGGACCCACAGGTCATACTGAAGAGTGGCAATGACCACTTCCCAGATTGAAGAGGAATGACTACAATCAGATTTACTGAGGTTTGTGGAATGTTATAGCAGGCTTAGTACATGTATTATACATTTACTGGCTAAATTTTAATGGAGGCTGCCTGTGTATATGGACCTGAGAATGCATTATCATTGGAATATGTGGAAGTCTTCTTAAGCAGTTATGAACTATAATTCCCCATTCCAAATTGATATTAATATTGACAATTTCCTGGGTTTGTATTGGATTTGGGTCAGCTATGTTTCTTTATTTCTTATCTTTGAAATTTGATAAACACTCCTTTGGTGTTTGTTTCTCTTGAGGGAAGTCTTTTTTTGTTGCTTTACTTTAGAAATTAAATTTCTAAAAACTATTTTGTGTTTGGTAGCATAAGTTGCAGTACTACAGCAAGTTTTTTTTTCTACATTATTGTCATGCAGTCCTGCTTTCAATACCTCTGAGTTAGCATTTTTCAAATGATGAATTTAAAAAAGAATCAAACCTGAATAACTGAGGGTTGATTGGAACTTGAGTCACTGAACTAAGTAGTCTTTTTCCTCTTGTATCTGTTTTGATTATGGGAATGGTTAATATTTTGATTCTTCTTTTCTAACCTCTTAGGAACCATCACTATGAAGATGCCTAGAGGTACAAGGTGGTGTGGATGAACTTTGTCTTTGCATGAAGTTGGAACTTCTTTATTCTCATGTGAGTTCTAGTATTTAGCTCCCAAGATCACTAGTCTTTCTCTGTCCCAAAAGTGTTGGTGAATTCATATTCATACATTCATATACATGCTTCAATCTTGCCTTTTAATTGGAAAGACATTTTTATGCTAGCATGATGACATGTGGATCTAGGACATGATGTCGTGATTGACTCTCCAAGTATTAGCTCTGTCTGACTTGTATCGAATGATTGGTACCACTTGTGGATTGCAGAGCATTTTGCAGAGAGTGATACTGGTATATTTCTGTCACAGGTTTTGGCCATAAGCAGTATTGTGGTGCAAAACAAGGAAGACATAGAGGATTGCTGTGAAGGTGAGCCATAGTTACCATCCCTGTTTCCACTTTGTACTACTTGTACTTTTAATGACATCATGATGAAACCAGAAATTTGTACCTGAGAGTTTACTCTATGGAGAACTCATTTCGACTCACCTATGTACTGATAATGTCAATTCCTCATGTCTCATTCTTCAGACTTGTGCAGCATCAATAAAAGCATTGTTGATGTGATGTTGATTCTCATAGGTGGTGACTGCATAGGCATATGACAGGAGAACTGGAAAACTGTCATGTTGGTGAAGATGGTGTAGTCATTGAGTTCTTGGAGCAAGAGTGGAGGTATGGCCCTGAGCTGCTGAGGATTTTTCTGTTGGATTTTTGTGTGGTATATGTGGTCATGGGAAGTTATTTTAATGAATAAGAATTTCTCATGTTGCTTGTTTTCATGAGTATTATTTTTCAATGAAGTTAGACATTTTCTGGGAGGTTTTCATTTGCCTACAAAATTGTGCAGTTTGCAGAAGAAAGGGTGTAGCAGAATATTTCATACCTTTCTTGGATCAGTTGATTTGGCAATAATTTAATTCTTGTGCATAGTATGAGACAATACTTCCCCCAATTGTCAATCTGCATGGAGCATTGAAACTGATATCTTCAGCATCCTCTTAAACAGTACTTTTAAAACTCATGATTCCGTGAGTTGATGGTACTGTTGCAATAGCTGAAGTTTATTACTTGGTTCTCTTTTTGATCCATTCCATGAAATCATGATGAGACAAGTGAATGTGGGAATCTCTCTGATGTTTTGTGAGGGAAGCATTGTTTCGTTCACTTCTGAACTTGAAAAAAGGATGCGAAAATTATTTCTCTATGCTTGAAGTAGCTTTGCAAATTAAAATTCTTCCCTGTCTTGTTTCAGGTTGCAGATATGTCATGGAAATAGTGAGAGAGAAAAGTCAAAGGTGAGCAAATGTTCATGGTAATGATCATAACCGTAGAATAGTGTGTCCATGAAGTGGCATTCTATGGACTTTTAGGTTTGCCTGCTGAATGAGAGGTAATTTTTTGTTTCGGTATGCACAAAGAAGTTAGATTAGAAAGGGATCCTTCAAAAGACAGGAATGTCTGCCCAATACACCTTTTATTTGTAGAAATAGCATGGCTAAATTGGAAGAAGAGACATCTGAAGAGAGCCACTTAGTGAACATTGTTCTTGGTGTTTAAAAAATGTGATGTCATGGAATATTTTATCGTTCAAGTAATTTTTTATTTGCATAGGTAGCTTTTCAGGTGAAGTGACTGCAGTGGGAAGAAAAAGGGATTCATATGGCTGGAAATTATATTTTGAGGTAATATCTGACATTCTCATCTATGCCTTGAATAAAATCCTGTCTTTCTTATTCTTATACTTTTAATACTGGTAATGGGTAGGTCTGCTGATCAAATATTGCTGAATGAGTTAATCTTTATTCTTCTATTGGTGTCTGAAAATGAAGATATGTAGCACAGGAACTATTACAGATGGAATTGTGAAGTTTAATGTCAAAACATATTTCCTGCCAGAATCAACAGAAAATTGGTATTCCAATTTTTGGTTTCACAAAGTTCCTTAGTTTTCCCAGTGCAGTCACAAGTGATGGTCTCTGATGGAAAACACTGCCTTTGAAAGATGAACACTGGTTGCTTCTTTGGGACTTTACCTTTCTTTCCCCTGACTCTGCCTTTTCTGAAGCTTTGATTCTTTGTCTCCATTTCAACTCCTCCTTTGCTTTCCTCCTTCCAATGAAGTCCGACTGGTGTTTGGTCTTCTGGATGAAGTACCGTGCGGCTGAGACCTTTTTTTCCCCGTCAAATAAGAGAAGTTACTTTGTGTTCTTATATATTGATGGTTTCTGCTGTTCCATTTCTTTCAGATCGTGGCTTCTGTGATGTCCAGTTCTTTGATACCTTCACATGGCTTTTGTGCAATGAAATCATTCTGTAAATCATATGGAGGAATAAACATTTTCTCAGCCAAGACGGGCGATTCTTTTCAAGGACTTCCCATATTGCGTAACCATAGATTATATTTCCTTCAACCTTGGTGGATGTTTATCTTCGCAGACAAGTGCATGCTGTTGATAGCTGTGAGCTTGCTTCTTCCTCTTGGCAGACATGATTGCTCCAGGCAGTGTGATTGTGGTTTCTCCCACTCATTATCTGTTGTCATTGTGGGCAAAATTTCAGGCTTATACATAGCTGATTTGTTAATGGGGTAGCTCAGTGTTAAGTGCAAAAATCATAACTGAAAGAATCTAAGGAAGATAAGACTATTCAGAAGTATGCAGTTAACTTTTTCCAAATTAATTTCATGTGCATGTAGTGAAGCTCTTCTAATGACCTTAGGCTGGTCAGTATCCATCCTTTTCTGGGATGAAAAATCAATTACTCTGATAGTATATGCAGGATTGTAGCTGCCCTTTTCCCATTTTTCTAGTTTCAGATTTATCCATTGAATAATGTTCATGGCAGGAGTAGAGCCAAAGCCTATGTGATAAGGTGAAGGTAGAACACCATCTAATATTCTGACTGATGTATTGAGCAAATTAGGATTGTTGGTGGATGAGCTTGGTTTACTTTCCAAGGGTTTCCTTGTGTTGCTCCTCCACTGGGAGAACATTTTATTATTGGGTCTAAGGGAAATTTATCTTAAAAGTTACACAAAACCACAAAAATCCCCTGCAATGACCTTACATCTTAATGATGAAGAAAAGAGATAGTCCCAAGAGGCTGGTGGTCCCAGTGAGAAGTTGTACCAAAGAAAGAATTGATTTTACTTAAGGTAATCCAATTCACATGGAGTAAGAACAGTCACTATACACAGAACATTGAGTCTCAATAGGTACTGGACTGGTATTATTGGTTGCCAAGAGTTGAGAATAAGGAAGGGTGTTTAAGAGGAATCAGCACTTGGATGAGCTATGAGGATGTGGCCTACCACAATTCATAGTCTTGGCAATTTAGAGCCACAGAATAATTAACTCCAGGGTCCCCTTATTTATGAGCTGAACTTCACTTGAGACCTTCAATATTGTTTAGGTGAAGAGGAAGTCAGGTTATGACATGGGAATAGGTAGACCTGGAAAAGTCATTTAACATGGCGAACATTATTGCTATAGCTATGATCCTTGTAAGTCTTATAAGAAATGGGATGGCTATAGTCATCCATATATCTGATAGTACTAAATCAATGGGAACACGTGGGATATAACTGACGACATGGAATGCTGTCATTGTTGGGCCTACATGATATATAGCAGTGTGTTTCTGGGGAATCTGCCAAAAATCCAAGTGTCCTCCAATGTGTGAAGAAAGGTTGCCTATGTAAGTCAAGAATTGGATTAAAGGATAGCTGGAAGCAGTTCTTTCTCAATTTTAAAGAGGACTTGGTTCTTTCAAGTTAATTGCAGGTGTGAAGTCAGGCCTGTTTGGATTGCAGACATGGAGAACCAATTTTATGAAATCAAGTAGTTATAACAAACTGCTATATACAGGATTTATGGATAGTCATTATGTATATTACAATTGTAATAACTTTTGGAATTTTTGGAAAAGAACTGGTTTTTGTGTTAATAACAAGAGAATTCGGTGGGGTTTTATGATTTCATTGGTTTGCAGTAACCCTTCATGGTGCCAAAATTGAATCTTTGACTCTATGGGTAAATACCTGCATGGTATGAAGTGTGGAGGCTGAGAAGATGGGAAGTTGCATCCAAAGCATTCTCCTTCCACCGCCACCTCTGGACCATGACGAAGGGCTTCAGTATGGGGTGTGGACATCCTCCATCATGGCCCAGAGGTGGTGGTGGAAGGAGAATGCTTTGAATGCAACTTCCCATCTTACATTTCATTCAGTTATATTTAATGCTGTTCAGCTATTTGTGCAGTGTTGAAAATTCAATTTTGGCACCACGGAGGGCTACTGCAAACAAACAAACCAATGGAATCATAAACACCCTATTGAATTCTCTTTCTATCGACACAAAAACCTTTGTTCTAGTCCAAAAAAGTCATGTTTTTACAATTTAAAAGTATGTTGTGACTTTCCATACACCCTATAGAATAGCTGGCAGAAACCTGATGTGCAACCTTTAATCATAAGGTAACCTATTGAAATAAGGAGATGCTGAACATTTGCCTGAAGACATCAAGAGTATCTCATCATATTAATAGGTGAAGAACTTACTATCATACTTTCTCCTCCAGAAAATAATGGCTTTCTCCTGCCTTTGGTTGGTTGTTATATTTGCTCTGCAATTTTCACCTGGCCACTCACAAGAAGATACTGTAGAAGCTGAAATACCTCTTGGCAAGCTTCTTGGCAGTGTGAAGACTTCAGTAGGTGGAAGAAACTTCTTTTCTTTCACAGGGGTCCCCTATGCGGTTCCTCCCTTGGGAAGTCTTCGATTCTTGGTGAGATAGATCATGGAATTTGAATTTGGTCACCTATTGTTGCCCAATGCAGTGAATATTACTTGGATTGGGTTCTTCAGCCACCTGTTCCAGTTGGACCTTGGCAAGAGGTTTATGATGCAACTCAAGTTCCTGCAACTTGTGTCCAGCCCTTCCGCCCAACTACAAATGCCACAGAGCCAGTCATTCTCGGTATTGAAGACTGCCTCATCCTCAATATCTACAGTCCTAAGGTAGATATGATGATATCCCTTTCTGTTATGTTCTTTATTCTGACAAGTTGGCTTTTTCTTTGTTTTCTTCATATAATGTTTCTCCTGGAGGCTAACACTGAAACAATGATGCCTTTCTTATATATCTCTTGTTGCCTTTGTTAGAATTAAGCAAAAAACTATCCAACTTTAATGGGGAATAATTTATTTTTCCTTTCATTTGTTTATTGATTTGCCTTTATTTCTTTACTACTTTTCATTCTTTTGTTCCATGAAAGGAGCCAAATACAGGTGCCAGTGATCTGCCTGTTCTTGTTTGGATACATGGTGGTGCATATAGTTTAGGTAGCTCTGACCCAATAATGTACTCTCCTGGATATTTCATGGATCATGATGTGGTTCTGGTATCCATCAATTATCGACTTGGTGTTCTTGGTGAGGTTTTGCTATTGCCCAGATATACCACATCACACCATCCACAATTAACTCATTCTTTTCTGTATGAGTCAGGCTTCCTGTCAACTGAGGATTCACTTGGACCTGGGAACTATGGAATGTTGGATCAGGTACTTGCACTGCAATTTGTGAGGGATAACATAGCACCTTTTGGAGGTAATCCAGATAAAGTCACCATCTTTGGAGAGAGTGCTGGTGCTGCTTCTGTTCATTTGCTGATGCTATCTCCACTTACGCAAGGTAATGAAGCTGCCATTTGGCTCTCCTTGAGTTTGGGGTCATAGGAGCAAGAAAGCTGGATCTTGTGTGCTTTCTGCTGTACTATAGGACTCTTTAGGTATGCCATATCTCAAAGTGGAACAGCACTTGCACCATGGTCTGTCCGGGAGAATGCCAAAGAGGGTGCTGAAACTTTGGCTCGAATGGTTGGCTGTCCAACTGACTCAAGTGAAAACTTGCTCAATTGTCTTCGAGGAGTTGATGCTAATAGGCTTGCTGAGGCCACATTTAACCTCTGGGTATGATTTTTACCATATTCTTTGCTGGATCCTTAAGGCTTGATATTGTCCTTTTGTTGCAATCTTCTGCATCAATCTTGTTATTATAATTGCTAACTTTGAGAACCAAAGTTTTTGCAGTTTCCAGCCCATCCACAAGATTGTTAAATTGCATTTCTTGTCATTATTTTCATATTTTGAGTGTGTATGAGCAAAGTCACTTTTGTATTTTTAAAATGAGAGTAAAATTGTCTATAAGTATTCATATATTAATGATTTGATTCCCATAGGAATGGTACATAACACCTGTGACATTTGCACCAAGAGTAGATGTAGAAGCTGGGACTCCCTTCTTGCCTAAAAATCCTCTGGATATTTTGCTTGGTGGAGAAAATAGGCCCATACCTTGGATGACTGGTGTTAACAGAGAAGAGGGTCTTTTTCTTATCCTTCGTATGTTGCTTTGGATGAATCTTGGTACAATGCTACTCTTCCTTCTTTCATAGATGGTGATACTAGTTTCTGTCTTTCAGCTGCCCTTTTGGAGAAGGAGTTATTTTCTGAGATAGATCAAAAATGGAATGAAGTATATTGCCCTCTCCTCCTCATGTTAGAAGGAGCAGAAAGAAAGAACATGAGGGTCACATGTGAAGCCATTCGCATTAAATACTTCAAGGAATTATCCATTAATATGGACTCCTTGAGCGACCTAATTAGGGTATGTAATGCACTTTTTGTGATGCTTGAAGGTTATACTTTTCCCCAGGACTGACATTCCTTTCAGGTCCTGTCTGATCGTTGGTTCATCCTCTCAACTCTGAAATCAGTTCAACTTCACTCGCAAAAAGCTCCCACATTCTTGTACAAGCTAGAATATGAAGGAGAGAAAGGCTATATGGATGTGGTATTGGCTGAAGAATTAGCCAATGGGATGCCCAAACCTCATGGTAAAGTATATCCTACCTGTGTCCAGGATATTAAAAAAAAAGACCAGGAATTTCAACCTACATGTCTTTGCTCCCTGTGGAGTAGTTATCACAATTTTTGCACTATGCATAGATTGATATGTTCCCTTAAATGCCATTAAAATTAGTTTGGCCAAATCAAGGTAATGAGTAATTGTTTAAATTATATTAGGAATCTAAAATAGAATGGAGACTGGAGTCCCTTTATATTGATTAGACTGCCTGCCTTGTTCTCTCATGCAAACAATATGAATATTTTTCCTTCAGACTTTGAGCTGATTTTATTGGTACTTATTTTTTTTGTCAGCTATGGATAAAAAATAAATACTTATGAAAACCATGTGCAAATAATGTATTTCAAAGAATGAAATTCCATGGGAGAGAAATTTGATTTGAATTTGATATATTACCAGAGCACAAAGGCATTCCCTCTACTTCATTGTCTGCATAAGCTCTTTTCCATTTTCAATCCCCCTGTTTTTCAGTAAGCACTCATATCCTTGCCAAGCCAAAAAGAATAAATATGTGATATTGAGGATATATTGAAAGTATATCTTATTTTAAGAAGGGCAAATTTTGTCACAGTAGCTTTATTTGCTATCTAAATGTATAGGTTTGAAGTTGGCTTTTTTTTCTGTATGTAGTGCCTTGCAATATGGAGAAAACAGCTTACTTCATCTATGTCATAATGTGCTTGAACTCACTTATCTTCTCTTCCCCTCCAGGAATTTGTCACTTTGATGATGTACCCTTCCTGTTCGACATTCAGATTTTCCCTCCAATACAGAATGGGTCCAAGGATGCAGTGGTCAAGAAACACATGCTAGATCTCTGGATAAGTTTTGCCTACAATGGGTGAGTGTATTCAAGTGGATCCATCACTACTACCTTTAAGGAATGATGCTGTAATTGAGCCATTCATACTTTTCAACAAATGATTTCTGCTTCCAGTTCCCCAACTCAGAATCCTCCTGAGAATGAGCCTCGCTGGTTCCCCTACACAGAAGCAGATGACAGACATTATGTGTTAGATGTGTACCCAAGATTGGATAGGGACTTACTTGGCTCTGACACAATTGAGTTCTGGGAAACGCTCTGGGCCCGGGATGCACCCAACAAGTGAGTGTTGTCCTCACTTCTCTGTCCCTTCTCTGAATGTTAGAGAGTGTCTGTGATTCTTTAAAGTTAGTCAAAGGACCCCTAAAGGGAAAGAGATTATTTTAGATTGATAAACAGCTGCAATTATTTCATTGCAGAGTGGAGAATTCAGAGCCAGAGGTGTCAGCCATAAAATTGGAGATATAAGAAAGTATTATGGTGATCATTTTCTGCTGAAGAGTCTCTTGCTTCTGATGTCTTACATATTGGAGAATAAGATGCTTTACTGCATTGAAGAAAGGCTTTTATTGATAGGCAACTAAAAAAAGGGTAAATTGGGAAAATAAAATGTCCTTGGGTGGAGGAACATCCTAAAAGCTCATGTTTTTTGCACAAATCAGGATTTCACAAAACATTTGCTTTCTTTCATGCTTTGTGATATTAGCAGCATATTTGTGTGTGAAGTCATATTGTTTGCAGGTGCTCAACAGCAACAGTTCTGCTGATTTTTGTGACAGTAGATACACTACATGAACACATTGATCCATAGATGTAGTTGCCTTACCTCATATTTGGGTTGGCCTTGATGGGCAAAGGAGACCATAGCACTTTTGAGCCAGGTAACATTCCAATTAACTATCTCACCAAACAACTAAATCTATTATTAAGTGATCCAAAGTAAGACTTTGTACTGAGGGTTTGCTACATGCAGTAAGGAAATGATGGTAGGAAATGATTTGAGAGTCTCTAGCTTCTCTTTCTCCAGATTTTCCTTACCAAGTAGCACTTGTTAATTCAAGCAAAGGGCCCAACCAGACAATCACTTATTTTCTAATGTAATTCTTCCTAAAAATGGTTTAGGCTTAGCTATTAGTGCATATTTTTATTATTATTGAACATGGCATAGTGTAAAGCTGAATGCAATGCATTTAGGTCATTTCCTTGTGAAGTAATTCTCTCTGGTGGGTCTGCTTTGCAATACACTACTTTCCATAGGAAGTCAAGGAACTGTCTTTTACTTTCTACTTAATTCTTCCAGGTTAGGCATCAATTTTAATCTAGCATAGGAGGCTCTATTAGATTCCAGTATCTATATAAGGAGTGCCATCTGGGAAGTTGACAAAGAGAATTTGATCCACAATTCATTTGGTGAACACATTAACCCATTTCGTCCCATTGTCCTATTTACAGGATTGCAATTTTGATATTTTTTTTATTGCAAAGTGTAACAAAAATTTCCAATATGAAAATCATTTGCCACAAAGCAGAGCTCTTCCATATTCTACCAGAATTTTTTTTAGTGATTGTGGACAATATTAAATAGCAATATTATTTTTATTCATGTTCTGCAATCCAATGAAGGTTTTTAGAGAAATTCCCCCCCAAAAATTGAGGCTTAATGGGTTGATGTAGTAGTAGTAGTAGTCCTTCAGGTTCTACCTGAATCTTTTTATTTTGCTATCTGGCAGGTCCCAACTGCCTGATGCCAGTTTGCCTCATATTCCTCCAGTATAATGTTATTACAGTTGAAAATTCTGAACTATTCAATATATTATAATTGAAGAAATCATACCCATTTTAACTATTTCTGCATGGTGTAGGTTTGCTTCCACAGACATTTTTCTCAGATGGAGATGAGAGTATGACTGGAGTAAGTTGACCATGAAGACCCAGAAGGAGGCATTGAAGACCAAAGTAACTTTTGAGGAGGTAGAAAGAGTCAAAGCACAATACTGAAGTTGTATCAAAAGTTCTATTTTGAATGGGTCAAATCCAGCAAGGGAAAGCAGATGGGAATATTAAGGAATTTTTGTCCTTGGTTAACAGTGGAACAGTGAAGAAAGTGGAGTATTTGAAAAGGCTGTCTTGAAAGCAAGTATGTGGACCCAGCACCCTGAGAGTTACACTTGCAAAATCTCATGTTCGATGGGGAAATTGATGCAATATGGACACCCTCTGAATTAATTTGTATCTTCTAGATTCTAACAGGAAACACAGCTATAGAAGAATCCAAGGAGATGGAACAGAATGCCCTAGGAAGAAAGGTTGATGCCAGTTGCAAGAGATTTATGAGAAGTAAAAATTCCCTTGCCATCTTCTTTTTCATTTCTTCCAGGTGATGACTTCAATGATGTTCAATTATTTGCTTGCCTTTTGCACATTGCTCTGATTCTGTAAGTCAGGTGAATGAATAAGAAAATTTCATATTAAAATTAGGCAGTTCCCTTCAGCACTGTCTTTCAAGGACTTCCTAACCTATGTAGATGAAAATAATGTTTCTTTCAGCTGGGATGGATACTTATCTCATTGTTAAGTGGATCCTCTTGATTGCTTCACACTTTCTCCTGACTGTGTGATTACTCTAAGCTGTGTCATATCATTCAAGAATGAATCCCCTCTACATTAGCTGTAGTTGTCAAGGTTAGCCAATTCTCAGGCTTATCTTATGAAGTTTTATGTTGCTTGATAAGACAATCATTGACTGATATCATTGGTAGCTAAAGAAAGGTGCAGATAAACTTCAGCAGGATCCAGTCTTGTCTGTTGTACTGTTTTCAATTGACTGTCCAAACTAAATTTCATTGATTGAATTAAGTACATGGTACATGTGAGCTTATTGTCCTCTGTATCCTCACCTCAAGATTATGTGACTCAGGAGGATAATTTATTTTACGTATGTATATGAAGGGGTGCTTATTGCAGTCTGGCAGTTTCCCTTCAATTTGCAGATTTACTCCCATCAGCTCAGTATATTCATGGAAAGGATGAAGGCTTTCCTGATATTACTCTCTGTAATGGAATGATTAGGCAAAGTTTTAAGATTGCATGTGAATGTTCTAATTTTGTATTTAAAAAAAAGTGCAGATACTCCTATTTTGATGTATTTGCTGTATTTTCCAAGTGTATCCCATTGCACTTGCTTCATCAAGGCTTCTGCAAGATAATGGAATTTGTTTCACCTAGATGTTATCCAATTCTATGAATATTTCCTGGAATAAGTAAATCAGCTAGCTTCATTCATTCATTCATTCATTATGTCATTCATTGACATAAAGTAAGGAGTTGAGTAAAAAGCATAGAATAAGTCAAGCTTTGAGTTTGACTCACTTTTAGAAATGTGTGTTAAATTCAAATGGCATCCCAACCTATATCTTGTATTAGACTTGTCATTGTACTTCTTGATGAGTAGATTACCGATTGACACTTAAAATGATGTTTTACTTTTGCATGCTGTCTGCATACACTGAATCTTCACAGGAATCAGCCATGGAAGAAGTAAAAAAAATAGAAGCTCTTGGATCCTTTGCAATCTATGCTTTTCTATAATTCTATAAGTCATATGTGAGAATATAAAAATTCATGTTCAACTTTGGTAATTTTTTTTACACTACCATTCAAGGACTATCAAAATTGCGTAACTGTATATAATGTTTCTCTCAGCTGTGATGGATATTTATCTTATAGTCAAGTGTGTGCTCTTGATAGCTTTGGGATTCCCCCTCTTCATGACTATCAGTGATTATTCCAAGTCATGTTGTATCACTTGTGAATGGTTCCTCCTCTCATTAGCTGTAGTGGTCAAAGTTAGCAAGACTTCTAGCTTATTTAATGAAACTTTATGTTGGTGAAGGATAACAAGACAGCCACTGACAGGAATCATATGACTGAAGATTATTTATATTTATATATAGATATAGTTTTCAAGGGAATGGGGTATGGGTGTATGACCCACAGTGTAAATTCAGAAATTGGGGTGCTGAGAGATGTGACAAATATATCCAGAAGATAGTAGGATACAAGGATTTTGAGCAGTGGAGGTAGTCTAGTGGTTTCAGTGTTGGGCTCGCAATCCAATAGGCGCTTGTGTCACAGGTTTGAGTCCCAGCCATTCTCTGCCTTTGATCCTTGTATCCTACCATCCTCTGGACACATTTGTAACATCTCTTGGGACCCTGATTTCTACATATGATTATATATATAGAGGTGAAATTCTGTAATCAAGGCATTATTCTTTCTTCTCTGGCATGCTGTTACTTACTTGGTGTACAAAATACTTTCATTGGATTGAATTAAGTTAATGGTGGATGTGACTCTACTATGAATGGGTTCCCTTCTGATGAACACTTATTCTGCATGTGGTTATGAAGCTGCACATCTGCTCAAGGACAAAAAATATATATCCTATGTCTGTTAGATTACTAGGAGATGTAGTTTTTACCTTACTTTCTTTTTAGAAAAATTATGGCATCCTATTGCCTTTATCTGGCATTTATTTTTGCTGGGCTGTTTTCATCTGGCCACTCGCAAGAAGATACTATAGAAGCTGAAACACCCCTTGGCAAGCTCTTGGGTCGTGTGAAGGAGTCAGTTGGTGGAAGAAACTACTATTCTTTCACAGGAGTCCCTTTTGCAATTGCTCCCTTGGGAGAACTTCGATTCCAGGTGAGACAAATCATGGAAGTTGGATTGAGCTCTTGTAAAGTTGCCCACTTCCATTAAGATGAGCTGGCATGGGATCTCAGCCACCTGTTCCAGTTGAACCTTGGCAGGGAGTATATGATGCAACCCAAATGCCTGCAACATGCATCCAGCCCCTTCTCCTAGGGGCAGGTGCCACAGAGCCACTCATATTGGGTGTTGAAGATTGCCTCATCCTCAATATCTACAGTCCAAAGGTAGGGGTGGTGATATCCTATTCAGCTGTTTCTTTTATTGCTCTTGATAACTCTGACCCTTAATTGGTTTTATTCATCAAGTATTTTCATTCAGACTCAGCAGCAAAATATACAATTTTTTTCAAACCTCTGTCTGCTGTACTTGAATCAGCTGAAAAAATGTATGACTTAATGGAAAATAATACATTTTTAAATATACTTTCTTCTCTTTTGTGGTTCACCTAAGTCCATTTTCTCTCTTTCTTCCTACTGTTTTCCATAAAAAGGAACCAAATACAGGTGCCAACGATCTACCAGTTCTTGTTTGGATACATGGTGGTGGATATACTATGGGAGGCTCTGAGCCACTAATATACTCTCCTGGATATATCATGGATCGTGGTGTAGTTCTGGTTACCATCAATTATCGGCTTGGTGCTCTTGGTGAGGCTTTGTTCTTGTTCCAGAAAAACACCAATACATTATGTATAAGTTTCATTCTATTCTGCGTTAGACAGGTTTCCTATCGACTGAGGATCCTGTGGCTCCAGGCAACTATGGAATGCTGGATCAAGTGCTTGCATTGCAATTTGTGAGGGATAACATTGCACCTTTTGGAGGTAACCCAGATAAAGTTAC